AAGGTTTTGGGGGAGGGGAGAAGGGGGGGGGTTCTATACCATGAGAAAGCAAGGCTCTGAACCTCGGTCCTCCGGGTTCCATGGACCTCCATGAGACATGAGCTGAGGCTAGCATTAGCTCAACAATCCTCAAACAGGTATCTAGACACTTAAATACAGAAGTACATTCTTACACAGGAACAATTTAATTTTTTTTTCGGAGATTTTCATAAAACTAAACATTTATCATGCCCATTTTTTATCCATATTGGTGATTTTCTAAACAATGGGTTAAAGCATTTGTCATGGAATGCTTTAAGTCATATGACTTGGGTTGGTATTGATCTTGTAGCCCTTCCAGATAGATAGATAAATAGAAAGAGAGCTAGTTTGAGAGAGCAGTCATGTGGTTGAGATAGCTCCAGGTTTAGGATTTAACTTTACGATAAGGGAGACCTTCCGGTCCCATCACGAGGTTCAATCCAACTCATGGTTCTTCTTAATACTAGCTCATGGTTCTATTTCATTCTAGTTCATGGTTCTACTTAATACTAGCTCATGGTTCTATTTCATCCTATTTCATGGTTCTACTTCATCCTAACTCATGGTTCTACTTCATCCTAACTCATGGTTCTACTTAATACTAGTTCATGGTTCTACTTCATTCTAGTTCATGGTTCTACTTAATACTAGCTCATGGTTCTACTTAATCGTAGTTCATCGTTCTCCTTGATTCTAGTTTATCGTTCTAATTCATCCTGGTTCATGGTTCTAATGCATTCTAACTCATATGGTTCTAATTCATTGTAGTTCATGGTTCTACTTCATCCTATGTTCATAGTTCAAAATCATCTTAGCTCATGATTCTACTTTATACTAAGCTCATGGTTCTAATTTGTCCTAGATCATATGTTTATTCTATATTCTTGCTCCAAAAAATAGAACTGAAATTTTAAAAGTCAAGATATAAAATGGAATGGGTCCGAAAATTGGCCACTTACTCCTTGCATTTACTAAAATTGGTGAAACGTTGAACTCAGCTGGTTTAAAGTATTGTAAAGTCACTTAAATATAAAATATTATTTTCTAGGAAAAAATTTTGTTAAAAATTTATGTATTTCTTTTACAATAAAATTACTTTTTCGGTAAAAGGAATTCAGTCTTTGCAATAAACTCTAACGTTCTATTCTTGCAACCCTTAGAGTTTTCAAACTATGAATTCTGTTAGATGAAATATTCAAAATTTGAAATATCAAAGGTTTAAGATAAAGAGATTAGAAAATTTGAGCTTGTGGCAAAGACTTAAGTCCATCCTCTGTAAAAAAAATTGTGTCCTTGATTCCCTCTTTGTATTACAATATCTTTGTGGTGTCGTATGCATTGTGTGAACACAACCTATTTTCCCTAATTTTCTTCCACCATGGATAAAAATGAGATTCCAATCTATATACAACTATTATCGTTTACAGTTCAGGGGGGAATTAAGTTAAAAGATATTTAAAAAATAGTTTATTTTCATTGTAAGCTTTCCACATCTGTAGATACTCTGTAGTGTACAGTTGCATGATGTAATATTTTCGAAGGGGAATCTTTTAAAACCTAACTTATATAACGCAATGGACTATACTGAGTCAGCCAAGTATAAATTATCCAATTCAGAAACGTTCTAAAGTTATGACCCTTTAGAATTTATAAAGTGGTATCAGGAAGCTTTTAAAACAATTTTTTGACAAATTATTAAATATACCATTTATTATCTTTATTGAGGACTGAAAACAAAAGATAATTATATTTGAAGAGTTCAAGGTCTTCAATATAAAGCCTCATTCTTTGTTAGTTTCCCTGTATTCTACAGATTCTAAGGCAAAAATAATTGAACCACTTGGACTAAGTTGAATCAGATCTCCTTTAGCTTGCACGGAGCACAAGACACATGGTTCAAATTGCATTAAATCTGGTTCCAGATTCAACAAAAAGCTAGAAATAATTTAATCACGTTTCTTGTGCGCCAGTTCAAGGTGGATTTAAGTGGTTCAGTTAAACGTTCGTAGCTCAAACTATTCTTGCAGTTTATTCACCGGGTTTTAAAAGTGCTTTTGATATTTTCAGCTCTCAACGGACCCTACACCAAAACTGTAGGGTGTATCTTTAGAATAATAAACGTACTTTTTAACACTAACAAAAAAATCGTAAATTAAATGTTATCATGTTCATGTATTAGAAATATAAGTATTGATATGGTTGAATAGATTGAAAATAAACGGTTAATGACACATTCTTTGATCTGAGATTTTACTACTAGAAAGATGAAAGTGTTAAACCTAAATATGCTAAATATTGATAGTTGCTAGTAATCAAATCATATCCGTCTTTGTCTAATATATATCGAATGTTAGCCAAATACTAAAATTTATATATATTTTTACCCAACCTAATAAGTACATCGATGAAAGCTGAATACAAACAAAGCAAGTATCTATACATTGCAGATGAATATATAAATGTGACTTTCTATACTAACACTCCGATGGCTGTTAAATGTTAAAAATGTCTAATATAATGTATTGTATATTAATGCTGGTTAAATATAATTTATCTATACCCGTCAAGACATTTGTTGGAAAATGTACGCTAGATTCTGACGTGTGTATTTAGCTTAATCAACTACACTGATCATTGTTATTATTAGGTGCAGTACGTGGAAAAGGGATATGAAATAATAACAATGATCAGTGTAGTTGACTATGGAAAATACACACGTCAGAATCTAGTGTACATTTTCCAACAAATGTCCTGACGGGTATCTATATATGTACCGAAGATATCTAACTATATATAATAAAGCGATGGTAGCTGAATAGAATGTATCTATCTATGCCTAACATATCGATGGCTGCTGAATAGAATGTCTCTATCTATGCCTAACATATCGATGGTAGCTGAATATAATGTATCTATCTATACCAAACATATCGATGGTAGCTGAATAGAATGTATCTATCTATGCCTAACATATCAATGGTAGCTGAATAGAATGCATCTATCTATGCCTAACATATCGATGGTAGCTGAATAGAATGTATCTATCTATGCCTAACATATCGATGGTAGCTGAATAGAATGTATCTATCTATGCCTAACATATCGATGGTAGCTGAATAGAATGTCTCTATCTATGCCTAACATATCGATGGTAGGTGAATAGAATGTATCTATCTATGCCTAACATATCGATGGTAGCTGAATAGAATGTATCTATCTATGCCTAACATATCGATGGTAGCTGTATAGAATGTATCTATCTATGCCTAACATATCGATGGTTGCTGAATATAGATTTTCACAATAGTTTCTTCCCACTTAGTCTCTTAGTCTCTCTTCAGTTCATATTCACCTTTCAAGGATTATTTAGAGGTGAATCTTCTATCCGTCTCTTATCATCTTCATTCTGTCTATTATCTTTATTCTATCCTTAATATGTCTATCATCTTTTTTCTATCTGTCTAGCGTCTATCATTTATTTTTTTATTATTTAGTATTTTTACACCGATCTTTTGTTAAAAGCCTCAAACTTAAAACTCTATTCTTATAATCATTATATTTTATAAAAGTATAATCCAATTAGTTGACATTCAATTACTAAAATGAATTCATTCAAAAAATATTTTTTCAAAAATAATTGATTTTAATTATTTTATTCTGTTTTAGAGAGGATGGAAAGAACAAAAGAGACTGATCAAGGGATGATCAAATTTAAAATTGAATTGACTTCAAATATAGAATTGATTTGACTTAAAATATAAAATTAAATTGACTTCAAATGTAGAATTAATTTGACTTCAAATATAAAATTAAATTGACTTCAAATATAAAATTGATTTGACTTCAAATATAAAATTAAATTGATTTCAAATATAAAATTGAATTGACTTCAAATATAAAATTGAATTGACTTCAAATATAAAATTGAATTGACTTCAAATATAAAATTAAATTGACTTCAAATATAAAATTGAATTGACTTCAAATATAAAATTGATTTGACTTCAAATATAAAATTGAATTGACTTCAAATATAAAATTAAATTGATTTCAAATATAAATTGAATTGACTTCAAATATAATTAAATCTTATGGTAACCTTTCACTAACCAATGAATACAATGAAAATCCGAAATCTCATTGCTTTCTAATATTTAAAAAAGATAATATTCAACGATTTTGCTAATTTTGATCAAGTATGGGCAAAAGACTTTAAAAGATTTTTTGATTAGAAGGTTGGTCAGTTTTCTTTTTAAAAATATGGAATAAAAATGCAATCACTGTATTTTTACAGACCTCCAAAAATCGATGACAAAACGAAAAGGCAGGGTATAATTAAGTTTGTATCTGAAAGTCATTGATTCAAATTTACTAATCTCTATCTCTTAGATCTTTCAAGATCTACGGCATTGGGTTGCAAAGATATAGGGATTTAAAAAAGCAACGACTAAATTTCTTCGCGTCTAAAGGTTTCTGTCATCATAGGGGTTTTTGTAACAAATTCTTCTTTCAGAATAAAACAGTGCTAAAAGTTTTTTAATCTTTCGTACATAATTATTGTTCTACTAAAAAATAAGAATTCCACCCCCCCTCCTCCCCTCTCCTCCCTAGTCCCTTTTCAACGTTATTTATGAATCATAAATATTTGATGTGTCTCCAGTTTGCTGGTCCTCTAACTAGATATGGATTGATGAGAATACACGTCATCATTTCTTAGGTAATTATCCAATAATTTACAGCAAGGATTAATAATTACATAATAATAATAATAATAATAAAAAAAATAATGATAATTTTACAGGATAAGAAAGGATGGGGTTAAATGACATGACGGTACCCTTCGTGGGTAAATCTCTAAAGGATGTAAGTAAAGAGTTTTTTTTTGCATTTTAAGATCATCAAAATACCTGATTATAAAGGTTTAAAAAGTAATGCTGGACAAAACTTGTTTTTTAAAAAAGTCTGAAAATATTTATTGTTAATCTTTTTATGATGCCTGACAAGTAAAAGATAGATGGAAAGCAAAATAGGCCCCAAATATTTTTCAGACGGAGTCTTTTTTTAAACATGGTATACAAGTGGAATATTGTACTTGCAAGGTGTTCCGCAAGCATCATTTCCACTTTCAAATATTTTTTTCTTTTTAAAATTTCAAACAAAAAAACTTATTTTTTTGTGGATTTATTATTCTATTTACCTATATACCAATCTGCCTACCCAACTATTTACCATGCAACCTATTCACCTATAACTACCTATCTACCTACACAGTTCCCACCTTTAAACCTGCCTACCAAACTATCTTTACCTGCCGACCTACCTACCATCTACCTACCTATCTACCTCCCTATCTCGCTACCTACCGAAGTCCCCATTTACATACCAACCTACTTACCCCCTGTTCACTTACCTACCCGCTTGCCTACCCACCTACCTACCTAGGTCCGGCAAGAATGGTGGGATGCTCTGCAGCAACCTGAATACCAGCGTAAGCTGGTCTTGGTTACAGTCTCCATTGCTCTGCTCCTCGACAACATGCTATACATGGTCATCGTGCCAATCATTCCAGGTACATCCTTCGTTGTTGTTGAAATCCACAAGGCTCTGTTACTGTAGAAATCCACAAGTTTCTGTTACTGTAGAAATCCACAATTCACTTTTAAGACTTTTAAACATATATAAACAATTTTATTGATAAGAGAGGAAAACGAAAATAAAAAAAGAATATTGTGCATACGGATCATATGGGACTCACAACATTACATAATTTGACTCTATAACTTATTCCTAAAAAAAAACCTCTTCTCCTAAATCGGGCACTTTTCAAACCCCCATTAACAATTAAGAAAAAAGGCAAGGTTTAATTAAGCTTCAAAACTTGGGTTGGGGGATATAAAATATTTGTAAAAACAATCAAAATAAGTTTTTTAGAGGTTCTAGAGAAAAAATTCAATTTTTATTTTGTTTGTTAAGACTACCTCCGGTATATTGGTGCGTGGAACACACATGAGACTAGTACCCCGGGGCAGGTTCAGGAGGTCATCAAGTACTACGCCAACTCTACCGGCAACTACTCCATCACCTACATCAACAAGTATTTAATTGTGATTATTGCTTATATAAGACTGCGGAACAGGAAGACGGCTGATAAGTTATAATTTTAAATAACTCAATGTACATGGAGCACAGCAATTTTGCAGTGTTCGTAAACCCAAACAATTTGCTTTAATACACAAACGATTGTTTAAATTTCGTCTTCCTTATCCAGAGTTTTATGGGTCTCACTGTATAGTAATTGTTTTAAAGGCTTGAAAGTGTAATCATAAACGGATTGGGAAAGCGTGTCTGAAAAATCATTTGGCTCGTTTATCGTATGCTCTGGAGGTTTCAGTATTATCTTGTTAAATATTATATTGAAAAATGATAATTTTAGCTTTTAAAATTTACTTTACTTGCAAAAAGTTTTTCCTCGAACACTTAATCTCGATATCCGATATGGACACTTTTAAATTAAGCTTTAAAGAGCGCGATCCATCATTTATCTCGGCGTGCAAGTTTTGATTTCCACGGGTTATCGAATAGGAACTAAATTATTCCGTATATCTGAAAGTTTTAGATATTAATCCCAAGATCCGAATTTATATGGATTTTGCTGAAAAGATGTTTTTACATCTATACCGGGCATGTTAATTTATATTCAAATCCTTCTTCTGTCGTTCTCTTAATAGATTTCTATGGTTTAGAATTTTTGCTGTAAGTAACCACTGTTTGTCATAACCGCTGGTAGAAAATTGAAAAGATATAAAATTATTTTAGCTCTACGTTAGGTATATTGTTTGCCCGCAAGTTGTAAGGTGTGTGTGTCTGTCAAATTGACATTTACTCTATTGTATAAACGTTTCTACAATGGTTATACCTCAGCACAATGTCAGCAAATTAGGACCCTTCTCATTTTCCCCCTTATTTTCCCCTCATACTCAACGCCCTAATTCCCCCATCATCCCCCCACCCCCCTTACTTCATTGACGATCTCAAACTGGGCATTCCATGGTCATATAGACCTTGACATAAAAGGTAAAATTAAAGCGACATAATAGACTTTGTTACTTCGCAGTTCCTCTAATGTTAAGCACAAGTATGATATAAACAAATGTATTTGTTTAAATATTAAACAATTCTTAAACAAGTGTTTTTTTTTCAATACCTCTTCAATAAAAGGAGAATGATTGAAAGCATTTAAGATTTCAACGTAAAATTTACTTTGATTTGACGTGAAGCATCTAATCTGCTTAGGCTAGAACAGAATCAAAATACACAACTTTTAAAATATTCTGACATACAATTATATCATATAAAGTAATAAACTCTGTTTGGGTGTTTGTTTATTTATTTATTTGTTTGGATATCCGATCATAACTCATAAACCCCTTGACCAATTTGCCTCAAATTTTGATTGGGAAACTCGGAAGAACCACGGAAATGTTCTCAGCTTAGATTCTATCTTGATCCTCTTTTATCGGGAAAATAGCAAAAATCCTAATTTAAGACCATGTGTGGTTAAACGGCGGGAGTTAACTATGACCCTGGGCAACGCTAGGTCTTAAAGCTAGCAATGAATCTATCTGTAAAAGAACCTGTCTCTATGTGTTTAAGAGTTGTATGTTTAGTAGCTAGCTACGGAGAGGGGGGACAATACTCTTATAGAATACTAAACACACCAAATACATCATGTTTTTACTTTTCCAACCACTGCAACTTTTCTTCCCCCCCCCCCCCCCTATCCTTATCCCGTCACATTTTCTCAATATTAGTCCGCTTGTATAACTAACAAGGTTTTTTTAAATGTATAGGAATACTTGTGAAAAAATGAGTTCTACGGAATTCATTTTTAAGATTTTGTCACCCAGTAAAAATTTTGCGTTTTTAGAACGAGTAAGATCAACGTGAATGGTATTCTTATTGAGTACGAGGGAGAGGATAGTGGAATAGGTCTACTCTTCGCCAGTAAAGCAGCTGTTCAGGTAAAGATTGAAAAATCCGCAGAAGTGCCGACAACAAATCCGCAGAAGTGTTAAAGAAAAATCCGCAAGAATCGGAAAATCGTAAAGAAAACTTTCTCCTGTTAGAACTCTTTTCAGAGAAAAAGATAATATTTGTGCAGCTTTTATTTGGCTAGAAGGGAAAGGGGAAGGGCTGAGAAAGGCTCTGAGGGAATGTTAGGAGAGAGATTGTTATTATAGAACGAAAATTTTATATTTTAATTTTTCTCTGATCTTCTAACTTTAATTTAAAAATGTTATATTTTACAAAATTTAAGAAACATAATTTCTAGAGATGTTAGAACTTTAAAATCCTTTTTTATGAATATCATAATTTTATTTTGACAACTATGATAAAGTCAGAATCCTCAAATAAACCACTGTGGGCTAATTACTTTCGGGACATAGTTCTTAGGTAAACCGCTGTGGAATATAAGCCTGGCATAATCCCATGGTATACCACTGTGGAACATAATATCTCTTTATCCCAGTGTGGTTCATGAATAATATTAGGACTGGGCTAACCTGGGGAATTTAACCAATTTGGGGGAGGGGGTGGGATGGAGGATGGGGAGGGGGTAGGGGAATATTGGAAACTGTATTATCACTCAGTTGTTGGAAAAAAGAATCTCTAAGTCTAAAACCAAGTATAAAAAGCGGAAAAGTACGCCACACAAATATTTGTATTTCAATGGTATTAGTAAAACAAATAACCTGTTGACAGCATTTTTAAGGACATTTTTGTAACAGTAATTCATTTATGCTTATACATATTCCAGCTCTGCAAAAATTAACTCATTAAAAAATCTGGAATAATTTATAGATTATTGCGAGATAATATAGAGGATTTAGAGATAATCTAGAAAATTCAAAGATAACTTTAAAAATTTATAGATAAGATGAATTTACTTCCATCTTAAAATGAACCAACAAAGAATCAAAGGGAAAAGAAAGAAGTATATATAAACATAATCTTACAATCTTTTATTTTAATATTATTTGTTTTTCTTTAATTTTCTCTTACGTCAATAGTTAAATAGAAAAATTAAGGAATTTATTTTTTTGAATTTATAGCCGTCATTATTTTCATTCACTTATTATTTCATTAAAGTTGATGTGCACTGTTGAGAGAAATATAGAATGCGCCCAACGTCAACAATAACGAACATTTTTTTTAGAATATGCTAGGGTGTATGTATGTATATATTTAAAAAGAATAATTCGGATTTTGAAAGAAAAATATTTCGAATTTTGAAAAATAAAATTCAAATTTTGAAAAAAATTTCGAATTCAAAAAAAGAATCGAATTTTGAACTTAAAAGACAACTTTTCTGAACACCGACCATAAAAAATGTATTCTATGAAATGGTCGTGATTTTAACATGCTTATAATTATCCGACAGTGTTTGAGAAATGGGAGGGGGGGGGGGATAGATTTAGCTTTATAATATCTCTCTTCTTTAGATATTCCACCTAAAGATGCGTGTTGTGAAACTAAATTACTAATATAAACGTTTCGCTGGTCAGACTTGTACTAATCTGAGACTTAATATTTATTCTTTATAATTTAAGAATTGTTTTAAACTGGGACTGCTTTGAAAAAAGTAGACCGAGTTTAAAACCAAACATTGTGTGAGTCTGTTCTGGATTTTTATCTCACAAAAATACTATTTTTTAGATTTTTATAAATCCGATCAGTGGAACGGTTATAGATAGGATTGGATATGATCTACCGATGATGTTTGGATTGACAGGTAGAACGGAAAATCCTAGAGTTTGAAAAATCATTACGAAAACACTCGAGAAAGAAAATAAACTTGCCATAAACTCTAATTGTCCTATCCCTTTATCTGTTCAACCTGATAATGTTGTAAACCCAACATATTTCAAACTGTTATTTCTGCTAGACTCAGTGATTAAAGTTTAAAATATCAATAGTTTACACCATCAGATTGCACAATAAAAGGATAAGATATTTTGAGTGTAACGGGAAAAATCAAATTTTTGATCAAAGAACTGAATGACTGATGTCCTGAATGAGTTTGGCACTAGATCCTAATGGTTTTATTGATTAACGTAGAACCTATTTTAAGATATCAGTCATCCGCGGTTGTAATCTTTTTCGAGTGTAATGCTATAGCAAAGTTAATGTAATTTATTTGACTTAATTGTAATTTTGATCAAAATACTTTTGAAAGAATTCGGAAATTTTGTCTGTTACCTTTATCCGGAGAAGCTAAAAAAAGATGGAAATTATGGCATTTTTATCAAAAATCGATTTCTGGATTTTTTCACAAGTGTAATAATGCAATTCCATCTTAAAGTTACTTTGCTAGCATTTTCGTAATTGTGGAGTTCAGTGTTTGAAAGGTACCCCATGCAATTGACAGCAGTTGGGTGAAAGTTTGCGTGCACATGTATTAAAATTTAGAATACTAGAAATTCAAGGCACTTCGCGCCCTTCTTTCTAGCCTTAGAGGGCGCTTCGCGCCCATCTTCTAAATTAGTTGTGAACATGTTCTCTTTGTGTACATCGTAAACCAAAACAAAAATAATTCGCGGATTTTTACAAAAAATTTCGCGGATTTTCAAAATTTTTAAAAATTTAATGACGATCGAATTTTGATAGAGACAAATATTTGAAATTTTGATTTTTCATAAACCTTCCCTGGGGTCCCTAGATGTCCCACAAAAAATTAGGGCCCGATCGGTTCAGCCGTTTTGACGTTTATTGGATACAAACAAACAAACAGACAAACAAACAGACAAACAGACAGACAAACAAGCCAAATTTATATATAGATTATTTAGAAATTGTTTGCGGCATTTATTTGGCAGCGCAATTTTAGAAATACTTTTCATGAATCAATAATCGCAAAATAATCCTAGTCCTGTCATTTCAAAAATTGGGTCTGGTATTTTTTTACTTTATAAATTACCAGAGATATTAAGAATTTTGTTTATATTTGAAATGAATTACATTTACCTAAAATTGTCTATTACTGAACGAAATCATTCATATCTTCCGTGATTTTTAAAGCACCAAAAGGCAGCCCACATTTTGAAAAGCCAGGACTATTGTGTGATTTTGTAATTATTGTTTTAAAATAAAAGTATTTCAAGATTAGGTTGAATGCCAGACAAAGGTCAAAGACGACTTTCAGGTCTTCAATCAGTTAATAATATATTCAGCCTTTATAAGATTAAAAGAAGAACTTAACCCTATTCCCGCTGGGGGGGGGGGGTCAATTTGACCCCCCCTGTAGTTTTTTTTACATAACTCAAAAAGTATTGGTCTGAGGCTGTTGAAATTTTCTGACTTTTCTTACATACCCAAAGCCCTCCCTTCAGCCCTAAAACCGGGCTTTAATACTAACTGCCTGAGTCCTCAGTCACACTGCCTGAATGACTGCTTTTGCCTGTAACAAACTAAATCTTTGTTTTGACCCACTTTCACTTATCAGATTTTGATAAAATTTAGCTTTTTGGAAAGCCTATGACATAATGAAACGGATTGCACAAGTTTTGCGAAAAAAAATTGCAAATTTTTTGCAAACAACCTGTCAAAGGAAATTTGCACATTTTTAGTTTTTCTTGATTAAAAATCAGGTTATTTAAAATTTTGCAAAAAATTTTGCATATTTGAAATGGCATGGTCAAGGGCTTTTCAAAAATGTATAATTTGTCATTTTTTGGACAAATTTTTTTTTTCAAACATTTTTACTTTAAAACTGGATTTTGCGATAAAAATTCAATTTTCGCAAATTTGCAAATTTTTTTGCAGATTCTAAAAGTAGAGCACAAGAGCTTTCTAATGATGTATCATTTGTCATATTTGGACATAAAACATGGGATTTAGAGGGGGGGGTCAATTGACCCCCCCCCCCAGCGTATCCTGGTTTTCAAGTACCCCAGCAGGGATAGGGTTAACCAATAAAAATTCGATATTATCCTTTATCGATTAGCTGAAGCTGTGCATGAAGGAGAAGTAGATATCGATCAGAATATATATATCTGATTGAAAATTAATAATTAATGTGTGTATGTCAACAAAAAGCATTGATATCAATTAAAGCTAGAAATCGATCTGTATTGACATTGAATATCAGAAATTAACTATTTAAGATTTCAACTACAGGTTTCCTAAAGTGAACACTTATTTTATATGAAATATAAGCTTTAAAGGGACAGACCGGCTATGTAAGTAGCTAAACTGAGTATAGTGTTGTGGACAAATTCTTTAGGATTCATTAGAGACATATAAAACTTTTTAAAGATCTGTAAATCCTGAGTTTTAGCGAAAAGTCGACGTTTTAAATCGTACTTTTGGGTGGATACGTTTTCAGAATTGTTTTTTTTTATATTATTAATAACGACGAGAAAAAATGTAAACAAAATTCTACAGTAAACTAATTAGTTGATCAGGAACAGATTGAGAAAATCATAATTAACTCTTATCATCGAAAATAAGTTATCTTATTCAATTATTAGTTTCTATAATCTCTCTTTAATCACAAAGATTTTCTGCAGATTTTCTGGAATTTTTATTAAGAAGAAGACATATGAAGAGTTTGAAGAAACCTGCGAACAAATCAATACAAAATAAGAAATTTAATATAATGATAAAAAAGGAAATAATTAATTCTTCATTTATTGATAAATTTCTTTTTAGAAATATGTTCCTAAACATCTAACAAGTTTACTGCAGAATGTTCACTATATCTTTCGTCGTTGTTATTTAATAGTTAAAAAACGATTCTGAAAACGTACCCACCCAAATTCATGTTTTTAAACGTCGACTTTGCGCTCAAACTCAGTAATTTTACATCGCGGAAACGTTTTATATGTCTGAAATGAATCTTAAAGAATTTTTCCACAACACTGCATACTCAGTTTAAATACCTTACATAGCTGGTCTGTCCCTTAAATCAAGCTTAAAATAACTGTATGTACACTGTACACTCCTCGATTGTTGTGTATTATATTCATGTGACTATTAAAAGAATAATTTGTGTCTAAAAGTCATCTTTATATAAAATAGTTCCTACTGCTGAAAATAATTTAAATACCAATAAAAAGCCATAATCATAGAAAGAAACTTTAAATTATTATAAGCAGCTCCTAGATTGCGTTAATTTAATAAAATTCAAGGAACAATCTCAAAATCAAGCGTTTCTTTTGTTTTCTTTTGTCACCCTTATTGGTTTTATAATTGCACTTACATGTATTTTGTATGAACATTTTTTAAATCTTAAAAATAACTTTAGTAATGTTCTTCTCAACACTTCTCTTTGCCTGTGGAACATCTTATGGGGTACTCTTCTTTGCTCGATCTCTACAGGAAAATCTTATTACCAATCTTTTTTTATAAATTTTATTCTGAGCCCGCGATTTAAGGCTCAATCTTGGACCCAAGTTATAAATCAGCTGACGTCATCTTGTGTAACGTGATCAACAGCTCTTAGGCTCCACTTAAAATGTTGAGTCTTATTCTAATCATTGCCATTGAATCCGTCAATTCAAACCATAACTAATCTACAAAGTACAATATCAAACCGTTTTAGTAAATCCAACTCCTTTGTGGAAAATTAGATTCGAAAGCTCACGGCTTAAATTAGTCTTATTTTCCCAAATCTTTTAAATCTCGGGCTCTGGAGTTTGTTAAAAGTAAAATCGGTCTTTTGAAAACACAATTTAGCTTCAATAAGTAAAAAAAAAAACAGGGAGTTGGATCTGCTTTTGCTGACACGGGAGGACTAGCTATGGTTGCTGACAGGTAAGTTAAAATGTAAAAGATTGTTTATTATTCTGCGTTTAACCAGTTCTTCAACAAAATTTGAAATTCAGATATACAGAAGAGGCTGAACGATCAAAAGCTCTTGGAATTGCTCTTGCCTTCATTTCGTTTGGATGTCTGGTTGCTCCACCCTTTGGAGGCTTTCTCTATGAGTTCTGTGGAAAGCCTGTACCCTTCATAATACTGGCTTTTGTTTGTCTGTTTGACGGATTCCTGCTGCTTTTGATCATGCGACCAATGAAGCACAAGGAGGCAGAAGATGGAAAGGAGATTCCCGTAGCAACTCCGATGTGGAGGCTGTTGATTGATCCACACATTGCATGTTGCGCAGGAGCATTAGTTTCTGCAAACATTTGTCTAGCGTTTCTGGAGCCGACAATAAGTAAATGGATGAATGATACGATGAACGCTGAAGAATGGCAGCAAGGTCTAATCTGGCTACCAGCTTTCTTCCCCCATGTTGCAGGAGTAGTACTTACAGTCAAGATGGCAAGGAAGTATCCTGAATACCAATGGCTTCTAGCAATGGTAGGATTGTTCTTAGAAGGAGTTTCCTGTTTCATCATCCCCTTCAGCCAAAACTACTTTGTGCTCATGTTTCCAATATGCATTATTTGTTTTGGAATTGCCCTTGTTGACACCGCTCTACTCCCTACTCTTGGATTTATTGTGGACAAGAAGTATACCAGTGTTTATGGATCGGTTTATGCCATAGCTGACATCAGCTACAGTGCTGCATACGCATTCGGACCTGTTGCCGCCGGACATATTGTTGAGACCATGGGGTTCACAGCACTCAACATCATAGTAGCCATAATAAGCATTGGTTATGCCCCCATCATCTACTACTTAAAGGACATGCATGACTACAACAAGTACGAAGAGCCTGGAACTGAGGAGAATGTTCTGATGGGTGATCCTCCGACCAAAGAGTATCAAACCTACAATTTAGCTGAAGGAAAACCTGTTCTGAATGGAGCACCTGGCCCTGGAACACAGACAGAATATTACGCCCAAGTTGAACAAGAAGAAACCAACTTTAACGAAAATATAACTGCGAACCCCTTTAGACAGCCTCAAGGAGCCAACCCCTTCCGCCGGTAATGGTCTTCCAAATCCTTGGAGGTAGATTTCAAGCTCCTATGTATACATGACCAAGATGAAAAGTATATCCTAATTTGACTTTAAATATTTTAATCCCTCCGCTCAAAAAAATCTAGTTCTTTTTTGTGGATAAAGATACTTTTGTCCTTAGCTTGGGGCATTTATTTAGTCCAACATAGTCCAATTTACATTTTTCAGAGCACATCCTTAATTCAACTAATTTATTAATTGGCAATGTATATTGATCCTTTCAAACATCTTAAAATTTGTTTTCTCTAAATCAATAGTTTTCCTACTTGCACATAATTGCTTAAACCTCTAGCCTTTCTATTTGTTTATTTGTGTAAAAAAGCCCAAAACTTGGGCAAAGGTTTAGAAACTTAGCCGTTCTTTCAATATTGTTACTATGATGTTGTTACTTCAATAGATGTAATAAGTTCAAATATTGTTGATATGATTGGAGTCAAGGATTATGTACGATAAACGATTGTGATTCAAAAATATCACATCTAAAAAATATATATTGAATTTTATTTCAAATCACTCAGATTGGTTGATTAAAACATTATTATATGTACATTTAAGTATTTAATAATTTTTATAGAACAGAAACTGAATATTATCATTATTATTAATTGTTCAATAAAATAGACGTATATGACAAATTTTAATCGTGTAAATTTTGGTTACGCATGCTTAGGCATATTTATCTTAGGCATAATTGTATTTTGTTGACAACTTAGGAAAACATTTTATAAAGTTTTAGTTATGAGACAGTTTGTCTTATCCTGTAAATTATTGATTATTTTCACTTTCATCTGTCACTACTACACACTTAACACAAAAACACACTAGAAGAAGTAAAAAAACATGAAAACACATTTAATGAAAAAATATCTGGCTTCACTCAATCTTTATAGATTTCTGAAACCAAAAAAAATGGTGGATTCCGAGAAAACAGCGGATCGAGGGAAGCAGAGGAAATCCGGGAAAAGAAGATGACGATGTTGGCAGATGTTTGGTCCCTTCCTCGCGCATTCTTCAGACCAGCAGAGCTGATGAAAGCCAGGAAAGGACAAAAACATCGCCGACCCTACCATCGCTAACCAGTTCTATTTCAAGAATATAATCTAAAGAAATTCAAGATATCAAGAAAAAATGTATGCATGAAACTACTTTTTAGAAATGTTAGATCCAATTTAAAGCTTGTAAAGATAATTAATGTTGTACTTTTTTCTTCAAATTGCATGCTTCTTTATTAATTAGATTTTACGTACATGTTTGCAATATATTTTATACATAACACTAAATATAATGGCTATAATACTTTTCGTGTGTAAAATATGTAATTATAGCTATAATAATTTTCTCGCCTTGTTTGTGTAGCGTATTTATATGAAGCCATAATTCATGGTGTTAGCTTTCTATAGTGATACCGATCGCCGTTTAATTTTTTTTAAACAGTGACCTATTTTCGCTTGTAGAATATAATGTTTATATTATGCTTGTGATGATTGAGATGATTTCATTTTAGGATTTCGATGGAGAATTTCATAAATCAAAATATTAAAGCACATATTGGGTTCAGTCGTTTTCACGTTTACTCACGAATTAAAGTATAAAAGCACCGTAAAGAAATTCAGTCTTTGCCACAATTCGAAGTTTCCAATTCCACATATCTTTTTAATCCACTATGATAGACCTTAGATATTTCAAACTATTTTGTCAAATAATCCAAGTTTGAAAAATCAAAGGTTTACACCATCAGATTGCAAAGATATTGGGATTAGAAAATTTGATTTTGTGGCAAAGACTCAATTTCTTTGCCATTTAATTCCAATCAAGCAAGTCTCACTTCTGGACCCGAGGGCTGAAATTACCTATGCTTTTTTGTCAAAATAATCAGTTTTATTAAAAATATTAAATTTAAAACTATTTTTGGATGCAACTTGCTAGGAAATGATTTTTGCCTGTAAAAGTTGAATCCCTCAACTTTGATATTTAAACCTTTGCTTAGAAAGTACCGAGTTCCACGATCAAAATTTGCCAAGTCAGAGTTTTATGAGTTATGATCGGAAATACAAACATCCTGATAAACAAACTACTTATATATTAAGATGAATACAATTTATTGATAAAATCCAATAAATATACTAGAACTCCGTTTTATGTCATGAAACACAACGGTTGTGCAGTGTGCAATAGACCCATTTTACTCAAAATGTTTATTTTAAATAAAATGTTTGCTTTAAATATCACCATATACGCTAATGATTTCATCTTCAAATTCCACAATTTTGGATGAAAAATTGTTAAAACATTTAGTCATCTAGAGACTATATGTAAAAAGTAAAATATCTTGGGGAACTCGGAACATTGGTTGTTTTACGAATTATCCAGTTCTGATGTTAATTAGCCAAAAAAAATTAGCCAAAAACATTATATTATACAGTAATAACCAAAAAACTGTGAAATAGGAAGGCGACTTAATAGCAATACTGTATTTGATGTTGTTACAAAGCGAATAGTTTTACTAGACACTTATTAAATCCCAAATAAAGTGAAACGGGTATGTTTACACTGCACAATTGCTGTAACCTATACTTATCGGACTATTTAAAGTCATAAATTAAGTCTAAAAGTCGTCTTCCTATTCTACAGTTTTCTGGTTTTCACTGTTGTTAAGTCAAATTATATGTACTAATGAAAAAAAAACTTTACTTTGCCGTATGCATACTTGCAAATTATTCGGTGAAAAAAGGTTAATCTTTTGCAAAAAGATTTTTACAAATGTACTTACAATATGTGCAAAGTCTGCTTAATTTTGGAATTGACTTTTCAAAAAGCCATAAGTCATTAATGCCCAAAGATACTTACAAATTGGATAATCATTTATTTAATAGTTTTTATTTTGATAATTGGTTTTTTATGCATCACATTTTCCAGAGTCCGCCATTAGCAATATCCAATCTCTGAAGAAAAAAAACTTATTTTTAAAAATTCTAAAAGAAGCATAAAAGTGTTTTAATTAAGAACATGAAAATAAGAATAATATATAATCAATGGGTAATTGTTTCATCCACGATAAAATGTTTGATTGTGTGGAACTTGCAATGAAAAAGATTAATAGAGAGGAATGAAGTGTATTATGAAATAAGTATGACAAATTAGGATAAGTCAAGACTGCTAAGGACAGTTTTATTGTAAGTAGGTAATAGCTATAGTAAATAAGATGATAAGTTTTCTATAGCCTTCATATCCACTATTCATCTCACCTTAGTTCTATATCCTTGATAACCCTAGCCCCTCTCCTTAGTTCAATATATTTCCCTGATAACCCTTAGCCCCCTCTTCTTAGTTCTATATCCCCTTGATAACTCTATCCCTCTCTCCTTATGGTTATATATGTCCTTGAAACCCCCTACTTTTTGTGTAATACCCTTAACCCGGGTATAGGAAGACACTTATAGACTCAAGTTATGATTTTTAATAATCAATGAACCTAAAAATATAGCAATTATGCTATGTTTTGAACACAGGAATATTTGGGTTATTAATTTAATTTTCAATCTACTAAAAAAAACTATTTACAACATCAAATACATATTAAAGGATTGCTCAAATTTTGACCTCCTTTTCCATAGTTTTGTGGGTACCACTGTATATCTCCTTGATTACCTGTGCGCTGCTACCCTAGCGTATATACCATAGGTATCTTTCCTAGCACATCCAGTTCCTCTGTTAGTTACACCCACTAGATACGCCTTTCCATCCTTTACAGTCCACAGAGGTCCTCCGGAATCACCTACAGTGATCGGCGTTTATATCAATACAATGAAGACGACTTTTCTATTTATCAATATCTAACATGCTATTCTCAAATAACAAGATTACCAGTATAAAAAAGAGAAGTTGATAATTGATAGCTCCGCTTTGTTTTTATGTTTACGTGTATCCAGGCTGTTTAAAAGTTTCGTAAAATCTAAAATTTAAATAAAAATTCGTTGAAATTGTATTGATATATACGACACAACTTTAGTTTAGTTTTTATACCAAGGAATTGAATTTTTACCAAAAATTGGAAAATCTTATTTTGTGACAAACCCTTTTGGAAAACTAAGAATGAAGAAATGTTCAGAAACCAAAAAGTGCATTTTTTGATTGATTGATTAAGTTAACTAACATTCGATCTCAAAAGATGATAAAATTGTGAAAATTACTTTTTCGGAAAATTTTAACTTTCACTTAATCAATGGTTTCCCCGACGAAATTATCTTCGGTGAAGTAAATTTTCCTTATCCACGTGGATTTAACGGTTCTGTCAATATTTCAGAAAGCTGTGACTTTTGATCACAATTTGACTCCTAATACATAACTTTATAGCCTTTTTTCTTAAATAATTTTTTGTTGAATTTAGAATGAAAAAGTATAAAATAAACAAATCTGTAAGTTTAAAGATTGTTGAAATATAGACCAAAACACGTTTGATTTCAAATAAAAAAACAGGATGCTTCTCTCGTTGGTTAGTTCAGTGTGTAGCGGTTGTAAATAATTATCACCTCTTCTATAGAAAGAAAACAAAGTGGCAAATTGAATAGGAAAATTCTTAACTTTATTGCTAGAACTAGAAAAACTGGATTTTTTTGTGAATCAGAGTTTTTAAACTAATTTTTAGTTTTATTCTTCAACCTTGGCAAGTATCACTTCCTCCCCAGATTTCCTGACTCACTGTTTCATTTGCAATAAAGGTTTCTCCAACTAGTAATTAAAAAGGATTTAATTTAAAGTCCAAAAAAGAGGCATTATATCTAACAACTGGATCTGATCAATAATGTGAAAAATATGTTTGTTCTTCTAGGTTTATAAATGTTTAATTTTGATAATTACAAGAGTTTGTTCTTGCAGTATGAAATGCGCGAGTCACTCTTGTAGTGAAACCATATTTTAAATTTATCAGCTTTCAAAAATTGCAAACATTACTATCGACTTCATACTTGATCTGACAAAGCTTTTAAGGTTACCGTTGTGAATCAGCATTGCCATCTTTGCATGGGGATTAACTTAATAAACATAGAAAAAAAGGCCTTATCTTAAACCTTTAGTTATTTTCTATTCAAAAAGTTAAAAAATTGGCGTTTTTATTCTATATTTTATTTTTTTAAATGTCACTCAGAATGTTGTAATGTGTTATTTCCATTTAATACATTTCCAAAGCTTGTCCGAATTGTAAAAAGTAAAAATAGCTGGATCAGGAGTTACCCAATTATTTTCTCAAAACTGTGTCCATGAGCAAAAATGAAATATCCTCCCTTTTGGACCAAAAATTGATCACTTCTAATTGTGATTTCCGTAAAGGATTGAGATTAAGATACTCCTACCTTTGATGAATGTAGTGAGGGTAAATTTCTTCTCCTTAGCTCCACAAAGTTCAAGCGCTTTCTCAGGTCTATTCGCCAGGGTTTCTGCATGTAGCAGGTATTTCTAAATATTTAAAAAAAAATCTTCTGACGAATTTCCCGGATAAAGAATAACATTTTCAGTTTTAAAAAAATAATGTTAAAAAATAACATATATTTTACCTCTGACCTTTTTTGACATTCCTGAATTAAATTTATATTTTTTTTATTTGCAGCTTTTTGCTAAAGATCGTTGTAAAGACTTTATGAAAAGTGTATGATTACTACAATTCTAAGCTAAATAGAAATTTAAATCTAAAAATTTTTTTATATTCAGTGATAAACATCATGAGATTAGATGAAATAAAAGGCAATTGTTTTAATAATAAAATTTTCCTGTTCTGATAGAGCCGTGATTTCAGCTTCCTAAAAACGTAATTATTAATTTTTCGAATTGATTTTTTATGTGCAATACTGTTTTTCCCTGTGCAAGGCTAGGTACAACCGTACACCGATTTGGATCTAAGGTGAATTTACGTACAATTGGATAATTGGTATACAAACTAATACTACCTGCAAATCATTTGCTTTAGTAAACTGGAAGCACATTTTATCACAGTATCCCCATCCTACATGGGCAGATACATCATTTCTAAAGAATAATAATATTTCGATAGTTGTAAACAACAATGATAGAATTAAGAAAGACAGCAAATCTTAGGGATTGTTAAAAAATTGACCGGACTTTTTGTATTTTCAGAATTGACAGAAATATTAGCCGTTTATGTAATTTTGTCTTTTTTCAACAAAGTAGTTTCTGGGCATGTTTGTTTATATTGTCATCAATCTTTAAAACTCATAGACCTTAAATTAATCGATTTCCGGTTGAAAGTAAAATTACTCATTTTCTTGTTTTGTTGTTGTTGTTCACCAGGCTGTTTTTAATTTTAATTTGATTTACGTATTTTGATTTTAACTTTACCCTATAGTGTCCATAAATAGTAAATTCTAATTAACTATAACCATTACGTTACAAGTTTGAACAATTACCTGTTTTCAATTTCAAGAAACTGGTCATCTTCTGGGCAAAATCCAGGCTCACCCATCTTAAAAAAAAAACATATTTTATGATATCTTTAAAAAAAAATTCTGATGTTTTGTGAGAAACGAATCAACTCCCCCCAGCTAGTCGTCGCCCAGTTTTCTTAATGGATAATTCCAAACATTGGTGAATAAATGAAATTTAACTTTATCTAACATCTAACAGAATGTATATTTTTTTACCACCGATTTTAGATTTTGGATTTGAATGTGATTGTTTGGCAAGCACCAACAGCAAATAAGTTTAGTGTTAAGAAACCAAATAAAAAATGTCTAGATTTTCCACTAGCAATTATGATTTTCATTCTAAATTACTAAATATAATAAAAAAGAACCGAATTTTGTTTTATAAAATGTACCTTAGTCCCCTCTACACAGACAGCACACCAGCTTGCTACTCCGTCAAAAGATGGAGGATGACAAGTCCTGATTGTTCCATCTACAGATATCAATGCTTTAGCCTAAACAGATATCAATGCTTTAGCCTAAACAGAAATCAATGCTTTAGCCTAAACAGATATCAATGCTTTAGCCTATACAGATATCAATGCTTTAGCCTATAAAGATATCAATGCTTTAGCCTAAACAGATATCTATGCTTAAGCCTAACAGATATCAATGCTTTAGCCTTAACAGATATCAAAGCTTTAACCTAAACAGATATCAATGCTTTAGCATAAACAGATATCACTGCTGTAGCCTAAACAGTTTTTAATCTTTAGTCTAAACAGATATTTATGCTTTAGCATGAACAGTTATTAATGCTTGACCTAAAAAGATATTAATGCTTTTTCTATACAAATATTAATGTTTTAGTCTGAAAAGATATCAATTCTTTAGCCTAAATAAATATTAATGATTTAGCCCAAACAGATATCAATGCTATTTAGCCGAAACAGATATGAATGCTTTAGCCTATACAAATATAGATGCTTTGGCTTAGCAGATATCAATGCCTTAGCCTAAATAGATATTAATGATAAAGCTTAAAAAGATATGAATGCTTTAGCCTAAACGGATATTAATGCTTTTGCCTAAACAAATATAAATGCTTTAGCCTAAACAGACATCAATGTTTTAGCTTTAACAGATATAAATGCTTTAGTCTAAACAGATATCAATACTTTAGCTTAGCATATATTAATTTTTTAGCATTAAGAGATATCAATGCTTTAGCCTTAACAGATATCAATACTTGAGTCAAATAGATATCAATGCTTTAGCGTAAAAAGATATCAATGCTATAGCCTAAACAAATATCAATGCTTTAGCCTGCACAGATATAAGCTTTTTTCTATACAGATATCAATCCTTTAGCCTAAACAGATATCAATGCTTTAGCCTAATCAGATATTGAATGCTTTAGCCTAAACAGATATCAATACTTTAGCCTAAACAGATATTGAATGCTTTAGCCTAAACAGATATCATTGCTTTAGCCTATACAGATATCAATGCTTTAGCCTATACAGATATCAATGCTTTAGCCTATACAGATATTGAATGCTTTAGCCTAAACAAATGAAAAATTTTTTGAATTTAACCCCCCTGAAATATTCATACCTTAGAATATGCTGGATGTTGGTTTCTAAACTCTTTACATTCAGGATCTCTATCTGCTGGACTGAACTTACAATATTTTCACAGCAGATAACTTAAACAAATTGTATACAAGGTTACCCTAAAACCATAAGACTGCAAAGACGACTATATGGAATTTATAATCAGTCTTAATTCTTGGTTCCCTGGTTATATCACTTGTTTCTTTCTTTGTCAAATCAATTTATCAAATCAATTTGACCAACAAACGACCGTAATGTAATGACATTAGATTGGGAACCCAGCGTTGTCTGGAATTTTTTTTTTAAAGTCAACATATTTTACTTAGAACCGAGTTCCGAACGGACATCCACACAGATAGACAGACAAACAAACAGAGATTACTACTTTATATAAATAAATAAGAGATTACTACTTTAAATATAAATAAGAGCTTCAAACGATATTTAAAACACATTCAGTGGACCCTAGATGGCTCAGTTTCTTTTACCATAATACTTTTGCCATAAATACTTTTGCCATAATTACATTAGCCATAATACATTTGCCATAAGTAACACTTGCAATAAATTACACTTGCCATAAGTTACACTTGACAAAATGGTTACACTTGACAAAATGGTTACACTTGCTATAATTACACTTGCCATAATTAAAATTAAATTTGGTTAGAATTAACAAGCACATCTATGTATTTTTTTAATTACAAATTAAATACAAATTACAAATCTAATTCAGAGCCAGTTCGAATTCGGGTTCGAATTCTATCTGAGCACATTTTAACCGAACATTTCCAATATTTCACTTCTGTAGACAAGGCATTGGCTACATAGGTGTAGTTGTTGCTGTCTCGAATCATTGGTTTACCCTTACTTGTGGTCTCAAAGGTCACCAAAGGGTCCTCCATTGTGAGAAAATATGGAGATAAACTTGTGTCAACTGTTCTGTTTTAAAACAATGAGAAAACCAAAGTTGGGAATTTTCATGGAAAAATTTCACTAATTTACAATAAAAAAGACATATTTATATCTTTATAAAATTAGAAAATTATGACAAAAGTAGTTATAGCAAGTGTAATTATGGCAAGTGTAACTTATGGCAAGTGTGACTTATGGCATGTGTCACTTATGGCAAAGGTATTATGCCAAGTGTAATTATGGCAAAAGTATTATTGCAAATGAAACTGAGCCCACTAGATCCAGTTATCAATTATCTATAGGTGTGACATACAAATTATTTACAGTTTGGAAATATATATATTTGTATTAAAATGTAAGTTCCCTGGCAAAATTAAGACAGGCATTCTCCACTTCAAACAGATCATTGTTCATAGCAAAATATTTCCGACACTAAAAGAAACCAATCTTTTTTGTAATTAATTAATTTCAAAATTATGTTTGCAGGGCTGTCAATGTCCATAAATTTTAAGATTTGCGTGTTTGGCCAAACAACTTGATGGTACATCAAAATTTAAATAGGAAATAAGAAGAATGAAACTAGAAATTTATAAAATGTTTTCGTTGTCAAAGCCGAAAGAAGTCTTATTCCGATACTAAAATGAATAGGTGTCTAATCCCTGTTTAATTTCTTACCCTGTTAAATCAGAACACACATAAATTTTGCCGATTTACTTTACTTATATAGTCTGTATATAAATATACTGTTGTTGACTTGAAAAGTCACTATAATAAAATAAAGAGATCTAAAATGGATATTTCTAACATTTTTTTAAAACGAAAGTGTTTTGAAATATTTGCATTTAAGGCGGAGTTAAAATTGGTTGATTTAGAAATTAACAAAGGAATTATGGATGGATATTTGATGGTACTTCATGGGAGTGTTGTAGAGCTTCATGTTGGTGGAGCAGATCAACAGGAACTGGGGCAACAGGGCTTATCCAACCTAGTAGGCAGAGATCGCGGCTTTATCATGCTGGATTTGAGCGATTATGTTGTCTCTGGAAGTGGAGTGCATGATAAACTGGGAACCCTCGGGTAAGCCTGTCTGCTGCTAATTGAGTATCTGCGTCATCATCATAAAGGAGTCAAGAGGCTCCCTGTGTCGGAGATGTTACTAGTTCAACTGTCCTAACATGACTGAATACCCGGGAGCTGGGATGAACGGGGATTCGACATGTGGGCACTACATGAGGAGGAAATGGATCTTGAGTACACATACATCTAGAGAAAAGGCTGGGGCATTTGAGTCGGAAAAATCGTCTTCCTTATATTTCGAATTAATTTTAACAACTGTACAGATATCTTTAGTTCCTTAAAATCAGCCCGGTACTTGAAATTAACCGGAGTTTATCATGAACATCTAAGTTTAAAACATCAAAATTTGACAACATCAGGTTGCAGAGATTTAGGAATTAGAAAATTTTAGTTTGTGGCAAATACTCAATTTCGTTTGTGAGGCATGATGTGTATTTTCAAGTATGGTAAACAAGCCCTTTAACTCACCGGTCTATATTCCTCCGGACCACCAAGACCTAGAACGTTTTTAAAGTAAAACAGAAATCCTCATTTTTATAAGTTTAAAACGTAAAGCATTTTATTGAAAAAAAATAATGTACAGGGGCACCTTCAAAGGATCAAACTTTAATGACGAACTGAAATTTGTTTAATATGACCATTAGAAGTTACAATATTATAGACTGCCATGAAATATGATCATTAGAAGTTACAATATTATAGAATCTTCATATCTCGGGCAATATTGAAAGCACAAAAAAGGCAGACCACATTTTGGAAATGGCAGGACAAGGGAAATTTTGTGATTAATATCTCTAGAAGTTTACTTCTAAAATCAGATTGACAAAAAAACGCAGCAAATTATATCAAAAATCAAGACGACATTCAAGTCGTCCTGCATACTGTCATGTTTCGTGGGACACCCTGTATTACACATGACGTGAAAAGTGTCAAACTCAAATATACCAAGAAAGACAACAATTTCTCCCATTAGTTGACATGTTTCCCAAGATAAAAATAAAAAAGTGTGAAACCAGAAAAAAAGAAAAAAAATGCTGGAACGCACTTTATTATCACTATTGTTAATTTTTTTTTCCGAACACATAAAACTGTTGGCACTTGTAAGGAAAGAATACAGCTGTACCGAGAGTGTACAAATTCTACGTTATCATCTATTGTACTTGATAATCTATTTAAAAAAGACAAAATATGTGAAGAATGCCATTTTTAGTAAGATAAGAATACGACATTTTATAAATTCTTTCAGGATCTCAGAAACTCTGGGGTTAAATGTAGAAAAGGGTATTGTACAGTTAATACCTGTGTTGCAACTATTTCGCTCAAAAAGTTCTCCGTATCCAGTAACGTATGCACTGATATCATGATCCTTTAAAAAAGTTTCCTTTTTTGTGTAGAATATGCCTTTCAAAAAAAAGTTTCTCGGGAATTTCTCGTTACCAATTTTTACTTGCCAAAATAAATCAATAGAAGAATGCATCTTTGATCTACCAGGTTAATATTTCAAAATAATTTACCCGTATATTCTTTACTCGAACTATTTTGAAAACTCAATTTGAAAAAATGTAATCTGAAAATTCTTCAGTTCACCTGGAAACCTAAACATAAAGATATAATTGTTTCTCATTTATATTATTCCAATTTTATTTGCATTTTCAACTTTGTTTTCGTTTCAAGAAAATCATTGCAAAGTTCATGATTTTAAACCACAAAGAATAAAAAAAAGTAATTTCGTTTTTTAAGTTTTTCTCATGTATTTATGTTTTGAATTAAGGTTCAAGCAAAAATGGGACTGGCCATAGCAATGATTTAAGTTTTTGCTGTTTAATCAATTTATTGATCAAATAATCCATTAATAATTCAAATGATCAATTAATCAGATATTCAATTGATCAATAAAGCAATTAATCCGTAAATCAATAATTCAATTATTAAATCAATCAATTAATTAATCTATTAAAATTTGATAAAACAATACCTGGAGGTGGCAGACAGATTGGAGAAACCTTGAGAGGAGAAGAAAAATCAAATGGTTTCCGAACCTTCACTAGAGCAATATCATTCTGTACTCTCTAAATACAAAAATGAATAATCTAGCGCCATTATTTTATAAACCAGAAGTTCCTCCTTTCAGAAGATAATTTTATTTGATCCTCAATGAGTGTCATTATCCTGCTAATTTATTAGGCCCGTCGCGTCGTCGTCGGAATTTAAGGTGGAGATTTAAAGAGTTCCATATTTGATGTTACATCTGAAAATTGCATTTTTGTTTTGTGACTTGCAAATTTATGTCTGAAATGCACACGAGACGATGAATAAAATTAATATCTATATCATTTCCAATCTAATAGTGGGTTACAGGGAAACGTTGTGAATCGATCATGTATCGCTTTGAATAAACAAATCACTTGAAATTACATTAACTTGAAGGCTACGGAAATTTATACATTGACAGATAAAACGTAGAAAAATTTAAAAACTAATTTTAAAATGTATAATAAAAGTTTCTTAGGTTATTATTATCAAAGTTTTATGAGATTAGATCAAATCTTTTATGTAAATTTTTCATCAAAGTTTCGTGTCCTACATATCATCTAATATTATGCCCCCCAAAAAATCAAAATGTTTTCCCAATCAGAAACAGGATGTTTTCCCAATCAGAAACAAAATGTTTTCCCAATCAGAAATAAAATGTTTTTCGTTCATTTCTGCTTATTTTTACCTTGTTCAAAATAAACTGTGGATGTATTACGATTTCATCAACTGGGCTAACACCGGGACCTTAAACAAACTTTTAAAAAAAATAATAATAAATTATTTTAAATAATTTGTTTCACTAAAAGAATTTAAAAAAAAAATATCTAACTAATAACTATCAAAGCATGAAACCAATATGTCACTCTTGGTCTTTGAAAATGAACTGTTTTCACCTGTAGCTTGATATTGTAACTCGAGAACTTGAGACTTCGAATAGCTGGGAGCAAATCCTTGAAAAGTCTTAATTTTTTAAACATTATTTTTTCACAAAAAACCATATTTTAGTTTGACGCTGATTTTAAATGAAAATAAAGTGTGAATTATGATAAAGGATTGTTTAAGTACACAGATAAAAATGTAAGACCTAGAAATCACATGCAACAGTTTTAAACTTTGCAGCCTCAAATTCAAGCTATCGATCGTCAACTTTGAAGAGTTTTAAGTGGTCGATAAAATGTTTTCTATTGTGGATAACCTGTAATATACATGCTTCATTACCCCCCCCCCCTTTACCTCCCTCACCCGTAGTCTGACCGCCCTCCCCCGCTCCCAGCCCCTCTCACTTATCTCCCCCTCCTCCCCGATTATTTACCAGGTACAAACACCATTGTATTGGTGGCAGTTCGAGGATCTGCAAACGAGACCAAATTAGCTGAAAAAAAAGATAATAATAAAGTTTTTAATTTAATAACTTTTAATATTTATATATTCAAGACGAATTTGTTTATTTAATGTATGATTTCCAACAAGCTTTTTGCGAATTGCCAGTTTAAGAATCAACAGTTTGAAAGCTTCTTTTTTCCATGCTGTTGGAACTCAACAATTGAAATCAAAAGTCGTCTTCATTGTTCCGATATTACAAAGACGACTGTTTACTGAAAGAACCCCTACCATCTTCAAAATATCGAACTTGAAGGATATCGGACAAATTTGTTTAACCCGAACTTTCTGTCCAGAAGTTCGTGAAAGTATTTGTGATTCACAAGAGCAAATTAAATTTAATTTTACGAACAAAATGTCAAGGATTCTGTTTGCAAAGAGCCAAAGTTTCCATATTAGATTTTTGTTTGTTTTTCAATTTACCTTTTCCATACTTTGGTAATCCGCTTTCTGTTCTTCCAGATATCATTGCACCATCATTCTCAGTACATTCCCCATACTAGATTATACCATTTCAAGGGACTGTAATCGTAATTTCAAGTGACCCCCTTTCAAAGATAGCAACGCCCTTTTCACAACGGTACCCTTAAAAGCTTTGTCTGATCAGGCATGAATAAAATATCAATTTTTTATAATTTGTAACCGTTTATTTTTCACTGTGGTTTCCCTACACAGAGAATTGTGCATTTCTACTGCAGAAAACATTTAGCAATTTTCATAATTAGACTTTATTAAACCTTAAAAGGACGACGGTATCTTCTACATTAACAAACGATTTTATTGAACGATCGCTCAGTGAGAAAACGAACAAACTAGATGGAAAATGAACGATAGTTTTTAAACGAACGAAATAATTTTTTTTTCCAATTAAAAAACCGAACGCAACTTTTTATGCACAGTTGCAATCAGCAGCGCTGACAGCATAGTTGCAACCTTGCTTGCACAGTAGGAATGAACATCACTCTTAACATATTTCCTACCTTGCTTGCAGAGTAGCAATGAACATCACTCTCGACATATTTCCTACCTTGCTTGCACAGTAGCAATGAACATCACTCTCAACATATTTCCTACCTTGCTTGAACAGTAGCAATGAACATCACTCTCAACATATTTCCTACCTTGCTTGAACAGTAGCAATGTACATCACTCTCAACATATTTCCTACCTTGCCTGCACAGAAGCAATGAGATTCACTCTCAACATATTTCCTACCTTGCTTGCACAGTAGCAATGAACATCACTCTCCACATATTTCCTAACTTGCTTGCGCAGTAGCAATGAGCTTCACTCTCCACATATTTCCTACCTTGCTTGCGCAGTAGCAATGAGCATCACTCTCCACATATTTCCTACCTTGCTTGCACAGAAGCAAGGAGCTTCACTCTCCACATATTCCCTACCTTGCCTGCACAGTATCAATGAGAAGCACGAATAACATAATTCCTACCTTGCTTGCACAGTAGCAATGAGCTTCACTCTCCACATATTCCCTACCTTGCTTGCATAGTATCAATGAGTAGCACTTGTAACATAGTTCCTACCTTGCTTGCACAGAAGCAATGAGCAGCATTCATAACATAGTGTATACCTTGCTTTCACAAAACCAATGAGCAGCACTCATAGCAAAGTTCCAACTTTGCTTGCACAAAAGCAATGAGGAGCACTCATAACATATTTCCTACCTTGCTTGCACAGTAGCAATTAGTAGCACTAATAACATAGTTCCTACTTTGCTTGCACAGCAACAATGAGCAGCACTTATAACATAGTTCCTACCTTGCTTGCATAGTAGCAATGAGCTTCACTCTCCACATATTTCCTACCTCGCTTGCACAGTAGCAATGAGGAGCACTAATAACCTATAAGTTCATACCAAGATTGCACAGTAGCAATGAGCAGCACTTATAACATATTTCCTACCTTACTTGCACAGTAGCAATGAGCAGCACTTATAACATATTTCCTACCTTGCTTGCACAGTAGCANTATTTCCTACCTTGCTTGCACAGTAGCAATGAGCAGCACTTATAACATAGTTTTTGTTAATAATACTCCCCATACAGTAACCAATCAAACCCTTGTCTACCAATCCTAACACTCTGAAAACAAAAATAGAATTTTACATTTTTTTAAATTTAAAATTTGTAATACTGATTTACCTTATAAGTACAAGGGAAGGTCGTTTCATGCATGATTCCTTGACATCATACCCTCCAACTATCCTTGATTGCTTAAAACGGATTGTTTACGTATTTAAACAAAATACAAATTGTTGCTGAAGGGTGCTTATGGCTTGTACACAACGGTACTCTTTGCACCTTATATATCATTTAATAAAGGTGCAAAGGGTACCTTTGTGAATCGGACATGACAATCCATAAATGGAGTGTTGATATTGAAACTACGTATATAATTTGATAAAGCCGAATTCCTTTAAAATGCCAACATTCAATAACCAATAAATTCCGAATCTGTTCATCACTATATCTCTGCAACCTGAGTGTGTAAACCTTCGATATTTCAAAATTAAAATGATCTTATCTAACAGTATACTTAGTCTAAAATATTTAAGGTCTACAAAAATGGGTTGCAAAGATATAAGGATTAGAAATTAGTTTTGAGGAAATAATAACAACAAATCAAATAGTAACTCCTAACAAAAAGAAAAATAAAGAAAAACAAAGCGATGAACTAATTTCTCGTTTATTCTTGAAAGGATGTTTGTTAACTTTAATATATATTGTATTAATTTTCCTAACATAAATTTGCGTATTAAGTTTAGAAAATATTTGAGGAAAAACTCACAGGATTGAACGCTAAATTTATATCTGTGTCCAATATCTAAAAATATACAATAATTTATTATACTTTCGTATTTTATTATTAGTTTTATCAATTTAATTTTAATAGAAGGGTACAAACTTTTTAATTTATATAAATAAATATGATGCCAATAATGAACCCACAGTTTTATATAGACCTAGACAGGAATGATTTACGGCCAAGTAGGAAGGAACATATGGAAAATAAAATGTTTTCATTAAAAAATCCAAGTGAAGGGTTTTTAAATCCGATATGAAGAATCGTAAAATTATTAAAATTTTAAGCAAAAAGAAAAGTTTTACAATAATTGACGTTAAGATTTATTGTGTTTTTTTTCCTTTTGAGCTTCAAAACATTTTGCTGCTTCTTCTTGGTTATTTTTAAAAGCTCCACATTCACAACCAAAGTCCCCAAAACTAAAATTTAAGACAAAAAACTTATTTACAAAAAAAAATATTTTTGTATTTGTTGACATTAAAAACATCAAGTGCGAAGCAAAGAAAATTAGTTTATCTATTTTAGACCTGCGATTTATTTGATTGCAATACTTTTTTCGTACAATCGACCTATTACCAAGCAAGCAATAAGCAGAAGGATGGGTCGTATAAACTGAACAGCTGGTAAAAAAGCATGTCGAAATTAAGAAAACAACATATCGATTTTTAGGTTTAAGACCTTAAGGTATACTCTGAAGTGGCAATTATGTCGTTTCGGAATCATACATGTTTGTAATTTCTCATAAATCTTGCTTATACATATGAAATAATCTGAAGTCTTTATAATCTGAAGAACAATATAAAAAAATGTCAACCCATAAAGAAAGCAAAAAAGGTGAAGTGTTTTGAAGTGTTTTTAGGTGTTTTGTACCAACTCCGAAAATAAAACTCCATGAATTTTCATAAGATTTAAAATTGCAACCATGTCGTTTTGGAAACATTCATGTTTATTTTCTCAAAGATATTGCTTATTTAGAATTGCAACTTGTTTATAGTCGAAAACGAAGTTTTCCCATAAGTTATAAACCCCAACTAGATATGTGCAGTATTCAAATAAAAATTTAACTTGATTTTGAATCAATTCTTGATCCTCCTACCTGTTCTTGACGAGTAGTAGAATTATACAAATAATTGCAAAAAAAACATTTTTCATTTTAAATGAACTGATATCAGTCTAATCTAAATTTTACATTTGAAATTGTGAAGACATTATAAATCATGGTTTACGGGTACAATTAAGGAGTGACATATGATTTTTTCAAATATGAAATTTATAAATATTTCATTTTTTTTAAGTGTTATAAGATTTCACAGGCAAAGCCGTGTACTTCAGCTAGTAAATTAAATACATCATGTACTGTATATTTTCATCAGCAAAGATCTAAAGCACAACTGACAAAAACATTAGTTTTATTCATCTTATTCTTTATGAAGTATCCAGGTTGTTTATACACCGTCTAATTGATGAGACGATAATAAAAAGATTTTTAATGTCACTTGTTATATTCATGACCCCGATTAGTTTTGTATAATTTCGACGTAAATTATAAATATTTCAGCAACAATTTGAAAATACAAATTCTTTAAAACCATGAGACAAGTTTAAGATAGTTTTTCATTTAATTATCTGTGTCTCATAAAAGAAGCATCATGGTCTCTGAATCACAAATAAATAAAAATAAAATCCAAAATCCAAAATGATTATTCAACTGACACCATATTAGTTTTTATAGCATTCGATTATACTAATGTTGAGATTATTGGTATTTTTTTCAATCCATATTAGCGTTAATGGAATTTTTCTGCAAAATTGAAATCAATCATACAATTACGTGGAAGCATATTGAGTACCCATTTTTAAAAAAATAGTTGGTTTCAGACATTTATTTTTCCATGATTTTCATAAAAACTTCGTCAAACTAAAATGCATGCGTTTTTCGAAACATTGCTTTTAATCGCGACAAAAAAAAATGCGACTTCATTTCTTTATTTTTAAATACATTAATAGCAATACCTGTAGTTCAAGAACTACAAATACAAATAAATAAAAAAGTTTTTATATTCTTTATTTACTTTTTATGACATAGGTGTCATAGAATAAAACAATTTTAATTTAGTAAAAAAAATTAGATTTTTTTCTTTAGCCTTGGGTTTACTTTTAGATAACAACCTTAATTTAACTCAAACGCTGGACCAAATCAAGAATTCACTCTATGAAAGAAAATAAGCATCTTCTAAAAACCCCTTAAAATTTTCTAAAATAGAAAACGGGCTTATTCACATCAAACTCTAAATTTCCAATCCTTACTTCTCTGCAACCTGATGAACACGTTTGAAATATCAAAGATTAGAACCTCTGGTTGCAAAGATATAAGGGGAAAAAAATAACAATGCGAAACTAGCAATCAGTTCCTTTAGAGTAGTGAATGTATGAGCGGAGCCACTCTCGGAGGTACACTTTCAAGTGACACTTAGTTGCCGCTTTTGGATATTTTGAACTATTGGTGGCTGTTCAAAGCATCTACAAGATCCAATCTATTTCTAAATTTCATTTTGAATCCATCAGAAAAAAAACAGGGATTGGAAGCAGAAAAATCTCCAACTTAAAGTCAACATCTATCACCGCCAGGTTAAATCAAGGTTTATCTAATAAAGAGAACCCAGTTTGTTGACCAGTAATTCCAGCTGGTATTTTAATAATATACAAACATAATAAAGGGATTGTTTAAGTGACACCTCATTTAACAAATGCCAAAAAAATTACAAATGATTCACTTTCAGAAATTTGTATGGAAAAAAAATAGAGATTTAATTTAATTTTTCGATCAGAAAATTTGTTTCATCTGAAAACTGAAAAACAGATCTAGGTTTAAACAATATTGTTAAAACAGTCAATAGCATTCTGTAAATGAAAAGGTCACTTAAATGTTCTTGAAAAATTATTGTTGAAGTTATATTTTTTATATTTTTTATATTTGTTTAAGGTGCCTCCGTCGTGGCTTCATCATTGACAACACAACATGAAGACCATTTAAACAGTGGATCTGCGCCCTTCATAACACCATCATATGACACTAAACAAATTTACTCTATTACTTTTCTAAAAACATATATTTTTAAAATTTTATAACACCACAAAAAAAATTTTTTGCTTCCAGAATCTTTTGCATAACCTTGTAAATGCCTAATGTAGAAATAAAGTAGTTGAGTTTTTGTCACAAATTCTAATTTTCTAATCCTTATATCTTTGAAACGCAATGTCGTAGACCCTAGACAATTAAAACTTTAAATTCTGTTAAATCAAATAATTCAAAGTCTGAAATATCAAAGGTTTACACAACCAAGTTGCAAAGATATATGGATAAGAAAATTTGACCTTGTGTCAAAAAATAAAGGTTTAAAACTAAATTGTTATAATATCTTTTTGAAAGGTACCCATAAAACTGTGATCTAAGAAGTTATGGTTTAAAGTAGTCAAATGAACATGAAACACAGAAAGTGTGCAGTGTTCACAGGTCAAACTGAATTAGCAAGTTGGTTTTCAAAATACAGGAAGAATTAATTAAATATTTTTAAAAAGTATGAAAACACACCTGCAAATAATGAAGCAGGAGCAGGCTTGATTGCCATGTTAGACAACGTTTTAATATCGTATCCTGGCACCACTTTGGCAGGCAAAAATCCAGTTCCATTTATAACCTGAACAAACATGATTTCAATTGTTTAGAATTATTTTTCTAAATTTAAGGGAAAAATTATAATATAAAGAATTAAATTCTTTTAAATAATTTGTCTTAAAATACTAAACTTAGAAACATACTTTTTTTCCAACTTCGAATTTTTTTCCCTATTGTGGTTTATTAGATTATTCCTTTCAGATCGTAAAAAATTAAATTAAATTAAAAAATTAATCTTTCAGAGCTGAAAACTTTAGAAACTTTAGTTTTCAGCTCAGATCTTACAACACATCCATGTTGAATTAAACTCGATGTATTAGTAAAATATTTTATTATTTTCTTGCATACGATGTTCTTAAACCGACAATTTGTTGGCCGTTACGTGTCACTTCCCAAGTGAAATCTCTGAAATATCGGCGGCCAAATAAGCGTCTTTTAAAGTACATCGTACATAAATAATACAATATTATATTGGACGCTATGTACATCTAAATACTTACTGCTCCTATTTTATCTGGAGATGTAACATCCAGACGTTTTCCATTAGTTGAGGACATGAAGGAGGTTCCAGATTTATCCTAGATATTATTAAGGGGCATTTATTATGAAAATGCTTAAATCCACCAGTTTTAAGGTTTTCTGTAGTAATTTGAAAAAACTATATGAGACATTTTTTTAAAACTTATTCAGATTTCTTTGGTACAAAATTGCTAATTTAAGCAGAAAAACAAACTTATAAAAATAAAACAATTTTGGTTTCAAAATATTCGTTTTGAAACCCTTATCAACATGTTTATCAACAAATTAAAAAATCGACCTTCCCTTAAGATCTCTGTCCTTTTAATCGTCCATCCCTTAAGATCTCTGTCCTTTTAATCGACCTTCCCTTAAGATCTCTGTCCTTCTAATCGTCCTTCCCTTAAGATCTCTGTCCTTTTAATCGTCCTTCCCTTAAGATCTCTGTCCTTTTAATCGTCCTTCCCTTAATATCTCTGTCCTTTTAATCGTCCTTCTCTTAAGATTTCTGTCCTTTTAATCGTAAATTACTGAATGAGTTTTGATTTTTTTAAAATATTTTTCTTTTATAAATGTTGCTTCTAATTAGCTACTGTATATTTTTTCGATGAAATAGTTTCCCCCTTATTATTAATATTTTGATCTTAACAGATATATTTTGTTTCTGTTAATTTTCATTACTTTTCATGGCTAGATTTCAACTAAAAAAGGAATAGAAAAATTATCTGTAATAACTATATGATCGCAAAACTATCGGCAGATAATCAAGACCTTTCGGTTACATAAAATAAAAACAAATCAAAAACAATAATTATTTGGAAATTTTATAGAAAATAAACAGGGGTATAAAATTCCATTTCTAATATCAAATGGGATCGGGATTGAAAGTACATTTAGGGGCAGGAAAATACACTTTCTGTGTCATTGTGAACCTTGGCAAGTTTTCTGTGTATGTGTACTATACTTCAGAAATGTGGTCTGCATTTGGGGTGTTGAAGTTATTATTAGGAATCAATATTAAATTAATTATAAATAAATAATTAATTTAATAATAATAAATTATAATATACAGAAAAATAAACACCCCCTGCAGTATACAATCTGCAGTATGGTATATGACACAATTTAAATCAGAAAAAAATACCATTAACTGGAAAATAAACGACGATAAAAAACATTTACCTGAAAATACATTCTTCCTGTAATTGGGCTGTATCCAATAATGTTATGAACATACTGCTGAAGAACTAAAAAAACGTTTTTAACCATGCATGCAAGTCAATTTAAAAAAGAAAGTTAATAGCTAGCTTTTGTTAACCAATTGATAGTAAATAAGAGAACTGCTTAGATTAGATTAGTAAATTCCATGTTAGATTTAAATGTTATAATCTCTACTTTTGCCTAGTGTTCAATGAGATTTAACAGAAGTCCTAGTTTGAAAAAGGTTTAGAGACGTCAGTTTTAGGGGGAAGAAAATTTGAGTTTATTGCAGGTGTTTATTTCCTTTGTCATAATCAAAATATGCAAATATTTTTTACACTTTTTACTCTTTTACTCTCTGACTTAATTATCAAGTTATAAAAACTATGATTTATGTAAATTTTATTTTCGAAATAATAATTGCTTAGAGGGAGTGAAATTATAAATTTTTCGCGAACACTCCCTTTAAGGCCTGACTTGTAATTTATGTACGAAACCATGTAAGTATAAAAAATATAATTTAAGTTACTTACCAACAAATTTCTTTCCGTCTGCAGATGAATAACAAGTTGTTCCGTCTCTAAAAAAAATCTTTGTTGATAAATTTTGTTTAAAAAGATTTGTTGGAAAAGATTTGCCACAAATCTAATTATCTAATCCCTAAATCTTTGCAACACAATATTGTATACCTTCGATATTTAAAGCTATAATTTTTGTTAGATTAAATAATCTAAGTTCGAAGTATCAAAGATCACTTTGAGTTGCGAAGATATAGATATTAAAGAATTTGAGTTTGTGGAAAAGACTTAATTCCTTTAGTAGAAAAGTTAAAAAAGGGACAGTCGTTGACCCTCCATTACAAAAAAGAGGTTTATGTAGTTTTAAGCCTACAAAGTGTAATGTTTTATTATTGTTCACTCCTCTCTAAAAGTTCCATTATCCGAGCCGGTACAACATGTACTGATATGCAATCAGTCGTACTGTCAAGTCTTGACTACCCAGCTTAAATTCGACCAAACATGTTTTATACAAGAAATGTAGCCTGGCAAGATCTGCAGTGGTTATAATATTTAATATATAATTCACAATGCTCCTTAATACTTTCCCCTACTCCCGCCCCCCTACTGGGCTAAAACTGACCCCTTCCACCCCAGGAATAGAGTTTTAAATGTTACCTTGAAGGCATAATTTTTCCTAAAGGATCAACAGTTAGTTTAGAAAATACTGTTTCCTCCACACAACCAAATATTTTCAAGCTAAACAAAATAAAATGTTGTTATCAATGATTTTCTTTAATTTAAAAGCAAAGTAAAGTTAAAGAGATTAGAAAATTAGAATTTTCGGCAAGTCATCATGATTTCACTGTCTTTTAAAAATTTTAATTAAACATTTTTTATTGAAAATGTTGTTCTTACTTGTACATCTGAATAGCTTTTAGGTTTTCTGTCACATCATTTGTTGTTAGAACTACAAACCTAGGAACATTTTAATAAGAATAAAACAGTTCAAAAACATCTAACTTTGGCATTTTTGGGGAAACTTTATTTATCTTAGTTTTACATTTGGTGTAAGATTTTAGATGAAATAAAATCAATGTGTACAAAGAAATGTGTTAAGCTTGATGCCCATGTGATGTTACGCAATATGAGTATAAAAATCTCAATACAAATCTCACAAGAGGAAATTCTTTTATTTGGTGTGCCGTCTTTACTTTGTGTGTATTTCTAAACAACTAACTATAAAAAGATTTCAATTTCACATAATAAAGAAATTTTTAATTTTTAATCAAATTTGCTTATAACAACATCAAATGTACATTTTATTGCTTAAAGGGAGTCTCTGGCAATGTATGGTAGTTGAACTGAGGTTGTAGTATTTTAGAGTGATTTTGTAGGCTTCATTTGAACCTATCAGATGTTTTTACGGTGAATGTTTGTTCGGCAACCTAAAATCCTAATCGATTGTTCATTTTGGAGAGATGATTTTAGAAATCTATTTTTTTTAATGACGACCACGAAAAATGTTACAAAAATTCGACAGTAAACATATAAGTTGTTTAGGAACAGATTTCGAAATTAAAAATTAACTTTTACCAACGAAAATAACTAATCTTATTCAGTTATCAGTTTCTGTAATGTCTTGTGTTCACACACATTTTCTGTAGATTTCCTGCAATTGTTATTGAAAAGACGACAATTCTAGAAATTAAAGGAATCTGCGACAAACTCTGATTTTCTAATTCCTATAATTTTGCAACCCGTTTTCCAAGACCTTTAATATTTAAAACTATCATTTCTGTTAGATAAAATAGTCTAAGTTTGAAGTATCAAAGGCTTCCATCATCAGGTTGCATCATCAGGTTAGTAAATGCGAGTTTGTGGCAAAAACTCAATTCTTTTGTAAAGAATAGAAAGTTCAATGTAATGATGAAAAGGAAATAATTGATTCTAACATTAATTTATTGAAAAATGTCTATTGAGAAATGTATTCCTAAATATCCAATAGGGTTACTTTAAAGCTTTGTAATATTTTTTGTCGTTGATATTGGATAATTTAAAATAACGATTCTTAAAATCATCTCTCCAAAGTGGACTATCTTATATGAGGATTTTAAAAATTGAATTTGCAGTCTTGCTGAACATATATTCACCGCAACAACGTCTGATAGGTCTAAAACAAATATTAAAGAATTTATTTACTTTTTTGCATTCTTAGTTCAACTAACATTAATTGGCGGCCACTTCCTTTAAACGTTGTCTTCTTATTCCACAGCTTTATGGATTCTACTGTATGATGCTTACCTCAAAAATCTAGTAAGGATAGGGGCCCTGAAATCCAGTGTTGTATCAAATTTAATGATCGCTTCTTGTCCCCTAAGAAAATAGCGAAAAGTTTAATTTTAAATAAAAATCAATTAAAAAGTTTTGAGTAAGGGCTGAGAGTTAAAAATTCGAATTCATCTGCCCTCTCCTTATTACGATCTCCTAGTTTTTATTTAGAATTTGAAAAGCTATCAAAATATAATTTTAAAGTTTAATCTTGGACTGTCAGGCTCATTATATACTACTATACTACTGGCTGGACCCGTTAATACTTTTGTCAAAACGTTTGTTAAAAAAATTGGATATTATATTTCATATGAACCTTAATCTGAAAAGTGGCAATCTTAACAAGTGCTTAATTTTTTACAGTTTCGTTCATTCTATATACGACGAAAGATATAAATAAAGACATCTTACTCATCCTTGTCAGTATTGTAGTAAATCAAACACAAAACATTTTTACAGAATTTAACGTTGATTCACAAAAATTTCCATTTGATAACAGAACCTTACTGATCCAATAAAAGGATTTTGTCTTAAATTCAAAAAAAATATTCAGAAAGTTTTAGAGAATGCCATCTGACAACTTAGTCTAATTCTATTGGTATTTACTTTTCAAAATGCGTGAACAATCCTTTAAAGGGAGGGACCGGCTATGTAAGGTAGTTGAACTAATTCTAAAACGTATCCACCCCCAATGTAGGAGTTTTGAACATCGAATTTGCGCTCAAACTCAGGATTTACAGATCTTTAAAACGTTTAATATGTCTCAAATGAATCCGAAAGAAGCTTTCCACAACACTGCATACTCAGTTCAACTACCTTACATAGCCGGTCACTCCCTTTAAAGGAAACTCTAAATGAACCTGGTAAATGTATGTCCGTTATAGCTTGTATCAATCCGTAGTAGTTTAGGAGCTCTGCTTGAGGCCGGAGACTGGACGGAGATCTTGTTAATCCGTCGGATGGTCAGCAGATCAACCTCAATCCAGTTCTTATCCACAAACTCAGATCCAGTCCTAGTTAGACCAAACTTTTATTTTTTTATCAACAGAAGCATGATCGACGGTTGAGATCTATCTAAGAACAACATTTGTCTCAAAAAAGGTTAAACAATTCTTCCTGAACCGATATTGATTCATAAAACCTTCATTTTATGCATACGTTGGTCTTAGATAGTTATCAAAGATTAAAGATGACATGTTTGTGGGGCACCCTGTATAGTAGTTTGTAAATGGCGAACGAAACAAAAATATTTCAAACTTTATTATTTAATGTATTCAACATCTGCAGTATGAAAAACTCAAACTATAAAAAGATTAAATTAGAATTTGAGGATAGTCCATCAGGCCTTTTAGTCTCAAGGATTATTAATGATTTCATTGTTAATGGAGTTAATAAAACCATGCAATTTCTTATTTATGCATGACTAGGGCACGGCAATTTTGAAATCTTGGATTTTAGTCTTCACTTTCCACCAAATGTTTAGTCATTTGACTGGCAGATACCAACAAGCCTGATTTTGTTTCGATTCAACCCGGATATAAATAACTCGAAATTAGTTTTGCGTGAGGAAGTCAAGTGTATAGAAATAATGAGCAGATGAAAAAGTTCATAACAATATTACTGTCGGATTTCTTATTCCTTGTTAAGTTAAGATGGGAGTAGGGAGGAGATGAAATTTAGTTTTATCTTTATACCTGATAGGAACCGTCCAGGACATATTTAAAGTTAGAATATTAGCGGGAGCATACAGTGGTTCCCAACCATATCTGAAAAAAAAAATTGGTTTCCATCAAAATATCGAATTTTACACAAAAAGAAAGGGCTGCGAAAGAAGGGTTAATTTTTTAGAGCAAAATGAAATGCTGCTCCATATTTTAAAATCAAAACTCAAATATCTGAATTTGAAAAACATTGTATTGGCCTTTTTCCAACTTTTGAATTATTAAAAATTGTTCAGGTCGTTTTTATTTTGTGTGATTTTTTGTACTTTTTTATTTACCCAGAGAGTTTTTTAGCAACATAAAGAAAATTGTTGGACAATATTGTGATAAAGTTTCCTTGTAGCTGACCTTCTTATAACGAATCTTATTTCATCTATACCTAGCCTGATTTGACTAAAATCTAGCCTGATTTTATGTATGACTAGCATGAATGTACCTGTAGCTAGCCTGGATGTACCTGTATAGCTAGCCTTAATGTACCTATAGCAGCCTAAATTTACCTGTAAATAGCATGAATTTACCTATGAATAGCCTGACTTTACCTGTAGTTAACCTGAATTTACCTGCAACTAGCCTGAATTTACCTGTGGCTAACCTGAATTTACATGTATTTAACCTGAATTTACCTGTAAATATCCTGAATTTACCTGTAAATATCCTGAATTTACCTGTAAATATCCTGAATTTACATGTATTTAACCTGAATTTACCTGTAAATATCCTGAATTTACCTGTAGCTGGCCTGAATTTGTAGATTCGGATCCAAAATATCAATCTGCTTCATACAATCTAAACAACATTGATTATTTCAATGGACCTGCTTTAAAATTAAACTATAGTTCAGGTTATTATTATAGTTATACCAACTAAGATTATTTTAAAACGTAGATATCCTTTAAAGAAACTAAATACTTGCTGCAAACTCTTACTTTTAACCCTATCTCTGCTGGGGTACTTGAAAACCAGGATATGCTGGGATGTCCAAATATGACAAATGATACATCATTAAAAAGCTCTTGTGCTCTACTTTTAGAATCTGCCATAAAAATCGCAAATTTGCAAAAATTGAATTTTTATCGCAAAATCCAGTTATATAGTAAAAATGTTTGCAAAAAAAATTTGTCCAAAAAATGAAAAATTATACTTTTTTGAAAAGCCCTTGACCATGCCATTTCAAATATGCAAAAAGTTTTCAAAATTTTAACCTAACCTGATTTTTAATCAAGAAAAACTAAAAATGTGCAAATTTTCCTTTGACAGGTTGTTTGCAAAAATCTGCAATTTTTTCGCAAAACTTGTGCAATTCGTTTCCAAAAAGCTAAATTTTATCAAAATCTGACAAGTGGAAGTGGGTCAAAACAAAGATTTAGTTTGTTACAGGAAAAAGCAGTCATTCAGGCAGTGTGGCTGAGGACTCAGGCAGTTAGTATTAAAGCCCGGTTTTAGACCTTAAAGGAGGGCTTTGGGTATGTAGGAAAAGTCAGAAAATTTCAACAGCCTCAGACCAATACTTTTTGAGTTATGTAAAAAAACTACAGGGGGGGGGGGGGCAAATTGCCCCCCCCCCCCCAGCAGGAATAGGGTTAAAAACTTTAAATCCTTATCTTTGCAATCTGATATAAATTCTGCAATGCAATTTTTGAAATATCAAAGGTTTACACCATCAGACAGGGTGCTTAAATGTTAGGATTAGAAAACTAGGGTCTTGGGGACGAATTTTTCAGGTAACAAACGGAAGTTTTTTTAAAAATTTTTATAATTATTAGAAAACTAATACGGTCACTTGAACGTTTGGTCAGTTTAACCAAACATTGGAGAACAAATGTGAAAGTATTGTTTTTCGCAGAGTTCAAAATTTTAAGTTGAAGCTTAAAATTTCTGTAAAAAAATGACATCAGGGTTAAATTAAATCCAATCCCAGACACATATGTTACATACTTAAAATGGGTTTTATGAATACGTAAGCACTTTCCAGAGTATCATGATTGATTGATAGAAAATGATGAGAAACTACGGGCATTTCAAGGGTTTGAATTTGGTAGATTTTGATGAGTTAAATATTTAATTTTGAAGTCGCAAGCAGCCTCCAAGCTAAACACTTACCATTTAAAGTGAAATGTTTTATTCTTTAGTTTTTAACTCAGTATTACCTCCAAAACTGGATGTAAAGTCAGCAACTTCATAATTAGACAATGTTGTTGGTTTGTATTTATCCTGAAGTCCGGATATAAGAAGAGGATATCCGAAATGGTAGGACACCTCACCAAGTGCATAAGCCTTAAACACCAAATGGTAAATTCAGATTAAAATACAGTCTCGACCCAGCTAGGGTGAAACGTTTATCTGAATTTTTACTGCAGAAAACTAGTATTTCATTTGAAATGCTTAGGGATGTTTATTGAATTTGTTAAAAACTAAATCCGAAAAATTGGCCTCCAGAAAAGGTTTTAATGAAAAAAATCAGTACCATTTGTGCAAATGGAGAAATTCTAAAATCTTTTTAATTTCTTTCCCCCGGTCAAAAGAAGTGGTTTACAATAATTGAAAAATAAATTTTTCTTTAAGTAACCTGATTTCTAGTCAGAGCTGAAAACTTTAGAATGGGATATCCTTAATCCTACTCGGTTAATTAATCTTGAGAATAATAACAAGAGGAGAACAAGCCTTATTTAATCTGGATATTAAGAAAAAGAGGAGATCACACATTGATTTCAGTATCCACCATTCTAAAGTTTTCAGCTAAACTAAAAGTCTAAACTTCTAAATTTCTAATTTGGTAAACTGACCATGACAGTTGAGAGATACTCCTTTACTCCAGGTCTTCTTTTCTTTAGAGGATCAACAGTTACAGAGAAGTTTACCTCGATAACATCAGGAAACAAGATACCGGTAGGGAACTAGGATTATTATCATCATTATCATTAACGTTATCATTATCATTATCATTATTATTATCATTATCATTATCATTACCATTATCATTATCATTATCATTATCATTATCATTATCATTATCATTATCATTATCATTATCATTATCATTATCATTATCATTATCACTATCATTATCATTATTATTATTATTATTATTATTATTATTATTATTATTATCATTATTATTATGATTGTCGTTAATACTATCATATATCATACTATCATAATTACCATAAATTTACATTTGATTATATAACTTACAATGATGTCAAAATATGAGCCCTCTCTATTTTCTTGATTAGGAACAAATACTTCTATTGGTAGTCCAGTATAGTTCGTCATAACAACATCCTAAATTTAGAATATTAAAGATGTCATCGTATTAAGTAGGGTTATGCGCATTCTATCTTTTTTAATCCATTTGTTAACAGATAGAAAGAACAACGAAAGGATAGCAGGCTTATTGTTTAAGAAACAGTCATTTTTAACACATTTTAATTTTAATTATGTAGACAAGGAAAGGTTTGGAATCAATGAGGAAATTATTTTACCTTTCCGGTCACAAACCCAGTATATTCATCAAGTAAAACTCTGTATTTTGCTGGAAATCCCTCACCTAGAATATTTACAGTCAATTATTAATACATCTCAAACCTTTACATTCTTAAAAATGTTAACAAGATGCATTGAAAAACGTTCTGAACTTAAAGAATTAACATCACAGACCACAGTATCAAAAATATTATTTCTTTTATTGCAATTTAAAAATGTTACCTAGTGATGTATTTTTATGCTTTACTAATGAAGTTAAAGGAACAGATTCCCTAGAAATATTAAAAAATATTATTTTTTTTGTGATTTTGAGAATTAAGCATTAAAAATTGGCCTGTGCTATTTTTTAATAACCAATAAAATATTTGATTAAAGGAAGGGTCATTAGCTGTAAATTCTTAAAATATATTCCAACATTTGCTTTGAAAAAATGATAATATGAAAGGGCGGTCAAAACATGTTTTTATTAATATATTTGGCAGAAAATTGAATCAAATATTTGCCTATTGTAAAAAATTACCCTTGTGTATAGATTTTGTCCGGTAAATCATTGGTTTTAAGCTTTAACTCTAATTCAGGTCTACTCTTATTTATTCGATCAGCAACTGTTGTCTGACGCAAAACCATGATTTCACATGTACCTAAACAAATTTGCGGGTTCAAACATTCACTACTTAGAAACTTAGGAAATCGTTAGAATTACTATAATAGTAAAAGAGAATTATTAAAGCCAATTAAAGTTGAGATTTAAGTTGTTTGTACGTTCCAGACCCATCAGCTAAGGCTGGGGTTAATAAATCTTGTAAAGACATGATTATTAAAGATTACCAAGGAAAGTTTAGGTTTACAATGGTATAGGTAAAAGCGATAATACTAATTTTTCGGATTTTGATGATGATTTTTCCACAATCAATTATAGGTAATATATAATTTGTTTGTGCTTATGGAACCCCTCAGCCAAAGCTAAGGTTAATGTATCTTGTCACAGTGGATATTGGACGATTTCATGCATTAACTATTGGCTCTGTCTAATTAAAAAGTTCAGATCTTTGTCTTTTAAAAAATCTTACCTGCGGTGATATCATCTCCTATCTGAACACTAAGTTCTACATAATGTGATGATCCATCAATGGTAAGAGGATGATCTGATATCTCAACCCAGACATAAACATCAAACGTTTGCCTAAACGGTGGTAAAAATGCGCCGTTCCAATTATGGTCCATATCTGAAATCAAACATCAATAACTCTTGAATCTTCTTTTTTTTACCTAAATATACTCTCTCTTCATTTGGCCTGAGTATTTTTTAAAAATCTCTGTTTTCAGGTCTAAATATTCATTCATCTTTTAATAAAGTTTAAATAAGACCTTACTAAAAAAACATATTAATAACAATATATTTTTAAATCTACTTCACTTTTTTTGGTAGCTTGGTTATCTTATTTAAAACAAAGTAAATAAAAACCTCGGATAGATGGATGAAAAGGATCTATTTACCTGAACTTGTAATGTATCCGAGATCTGCATAAATGTGATCACGTTGCATATGGGTGAGAAGCTCACCACTCTTATTTGCAACAACATCCAGCGTTCGCTCAAAATCCATATAATTATTGACTCCCATTATATTATCGCCAATTTGCATTAGATTGTAGTCTCCAAATTGCAGGGATTTCAAATGCAGAACAGCCCTGCCAGCCACCACCGGGGCTTGAGCGAGCAGCTAAATATATTTTCTTCATTTAAGATAAAAGTTATGATATTCATGTCACTATTGAAAATGCTAATGCTCTTGGGGCCAAAAATAAAGAATTTAAACCGAGGGGCTGAACTTCCAAAACGGGTTCTCAAATCTCAAAACACTGAGTACAATTTCAAGTGGAACCAATTATGTTTGAGCCACGGCTCAAATTCTCAGCCTCTAGCTGGATACTTTGAATTAGAAAAATTTCTCCTTGAAAGTCTAATTGCTGTTTAAGCTTTGCTATACAAATCTCTGTTGAGAATAGATATTTCCTGACAACCGATGAGTACCTGAGTTCGTAAAGTTGCGTTGTACGGAAATCTGATTCCAAATTTGCATTGTACAGTTTCTCTTACGTCACCCATTGTCATGTAAGTGGTGAGTTTTGGTCTTTCGAAAAACCTGAAACAATACTGACTAGAATCAGATTCGGTTCTTCAACAAATGTCAGCGCTTTTTAAACATAGTTATTTAGAATTTGGCCAAATCAATTTGTACAATCTCTATTTTTTAGAAAGCTGCAAAGTTTGAAGGAAAGGCTCAATTCCTTTCAAAGCTTTTACAATACAAAGAAAAATTAATAATGAGGTTATTAGCATAGTTAGCATATGCATTGTCCAGTTTTGTACTTGGTTCATGCGAAATAAAATATTTTGCAAACTTACGCATCTAAGGACCGTCTTGCTTCAGTATAGTTAGTGGCTGGGTTATTCAACTCTGTCATCTCAGCAACCTAATCAATCATTGATAAGTTACACTGATAAATAAACAACTCTGAAAGTTAGTCATCAAATTTTTAGACAGACTCTACTGTAGTGTCACATCCCCTTGAACTTTCGTTGTATCCCACCAACTCACTTCTTCAGGGGGGGGGGACTTAATTGTTTTAGAGGTTCAGGATTCCGTAGCCAGGGGGCAACTGGCTACTACAGTAAATAATTTACAAATCAAGGGTTACATAGAAAATTTTCTGTTAATTTTCGTTTTGTCTGTTAACTATTACCAAACTAATTTTGGCATTTATAAATGTTGTTTTAAAGTCTCCATTTGTTTACATAAAAACTAAAAATTTTGTTATTTTTTCTGATTTTTGGATTTATTTCCGCAAAACTTTCGAGGAGTCATTTGAAATACCACAAAAAAGTGGGCCAGTCTGTTCAACCGTTTTGAGGTTCATTAGATAAAAAAATGTGCAATTTGTTTTACATAATTAAATTACTTTTAGAGTAAAGCTGGTTTTTATCTCTCTATCTTCATCCCAGAAATATAGAAGAAAATCAAGTTTAATTTCAGTGCCAGGAGCAGCTAGTTTGTCAGCCCTCACACTCAACTCAAATACAATCTAAAAAAATATATTTGTAAGTTTCGAAATTTTGTCATCAATGACATTAGCCTTATCCTCAATCTTTTGCACCAAGATAGAAATGCGAAGTGGTATCAGGAAAAACAAGATTTGTTCATTATATTAAAAGAAATGGTTATGTTTATTTAATTATTATAATTTACAAGAAAAGGTATGATTTCAACATTTTTGTCAGATGGGTTCCTTACAATTTCTAGCACTTATTTCTAGCACTTTAAATCACCATCAAAAACGGAAGGGTTAAAAAAATATTTTAAAAAATATTTTTAATTATTTTTACTTGGTTTTCTTTAGGTTCTGGAGAAACTGGATAACTAAGAATTCTTCCCATATCAGTCTGTATGCTTTCATAAAACTCAACAGTTCTAAAATAAATGAAATTAGCTTTGTGAAAGATGTCATGCAAACATATTTATTTACGGTGGTAATTTCGCATTGGCCGTATGTCTAAATTTATCCATATGTTACATATAAGATGCATGTATAAAAATTTAAAGGGAGGGGAAGGGGGTTCTAAAAAGCGTTCCCTAGGACAGACCCAAGTGATGTTAAGAATTGTCATGAATTCTCAGATTTAATCTATGAGATCAAGTACGGAAAATTGGCCTTAAACTCAAATTAGTCAAATTAGATGTACATAGAAACACAGTATCACGGGATTTTAATGAAATAACTTTGTTGAATCAATGGGAGATTAAGTCAGGTTTTATTTGAATTATATCAATAATATACAAATTCATTTAACAGATGCGCAATTTGAATAAAAAGTGATATTTAACTATATCCAAAGTGTTTCATTTTAATTGTAGAAGCTTGCGCTTTGCCGAGTAGCCTTAGCCGCATAGAACCAGAGTCCTCTGCATTCAAGAGTCTGCTCCATGTACACAGGAATAGCAAGGGATGTAAATGTAATCCGCCGTCTTTGCAATGAGGACAGAGATCAGGAACTAAAGGGAATCGGTTTAATATAATATATATAAATCATGCAGTGTCGACATACATTACATCAGATAAATGAGAGTTGTGGCATCTGTATATATCCAATGTACACAGATTAGAGCCCGTTCTCCCTAGATCCATTCTCTCAATAGATAGTGGTCGTGAAGTTCACGTTGTTTGGGGAACGATAGTTTGGCCGCTAGATGTCTCTCGTATGAATTATCTATCTATCAGATAAGAATTTTGCATGAGACATCTAGCGGCAGTGGCGCAACTAGCACTTTTGTGAGGGGGGGGGCGAAATAAAATTTTGTGGGGCAATTCCAGGATGTGAAGTAAAAGAAAACAGTATTTTTAATTGTTGACTGGTTGGCTCTGTACTTAAAAATATACAAAATTCTTAAAATATCCATGGCTTGTTCTTGTGTTTAAAAAATATTTACCTTCCAACAGCTTTAAAATGAACGACACTATTAAATTAAACATGTGTGGGAAGCCCCAAAAAATTCAGCTCCTCTAGTGTCTTTTCATGTATTGTTTAAGTGTCTCTTAGTCACTATGGCTTTGTCAAATTCACTATGTATATAAGTCCCTTATTACAGTCTACACCAATTTTTGTGTAATTCATCCACTAGTCATATCTGTCCACTTTACACTATACTATGTATACTGTATAGTCTCTTAATCGTAGGTCTGTGCAGTCCTAAGTATTAAATAGTTCCTGGCAGTACTTGACTAAATATTTCGTCTGTCTATAAGCCATAATAGTCATTGTTTTCCAGGTATGGGTCTTACTCTGTTTTCCTCTTATAGTCTGCAAAAGTTCTAATAGTCTGATATAATCCTTATTATATTTCTTGTTATTTTTTCTTCATTGACGAAATTTGATAAAAGATGGTCCACAATCATGATCATGATGGAGTCAAATGAGGGGGGGGGGGTAACTTCACGACCACTATTTAAACATTGGATGGAGAGAGTGGGCTCCATTGGGGTGTGAACAGTAGACAAGTTATTTATTCTATACCATAGCATGAAACAATTGCTGGTTAAAATGGCAAATTGAGAAGTTGTACGAACATAAGTTTGGAAAATCATCCTACACGGGCACAATTTTATTTCTCCGAAACATTAGAGCTTAAACCAAGGTAAAATATGTATTATATTTCAATTTATTTACGTTTCTAAAGTTGTTGAAAAATTAATATTTTTGCAACAAAGCTAGACTATACATCCTCCCCCTCATGAGTAGATAATTTTCAAAATTTTTCAATATTTTTCGTGAAAAAGATGGACGGCTAGGCCAAGGGATGCAGATCTTGTCTTAAAGAATGTAAAACAGGTTCAAAATTGAAATCATCTCAATCAAAGCAATATTCCAAAAAATTTTCATAAGATACAGAAAGGGCGGATAGATTTATTTACATTATGAATTTATAGTTAAAATTTTTTGGAAGAAAATTACCACATTTAATTTAAGAGTCACATAAAATTACTTCACATCAAAGACTTTGCTAATTATAAAGACGAGGCGTTGGAAATTTATCCATGAAATATCTATACTTTAATTCTCGTAATTATCATGTGTGCTCGTAGCAATGATACTAGTGCAAGATCTTGCATATTCCCAATGTGTTAATCATGAGAAATGCAATGCCAGAATATCTAGATTATATTTTTAATTCTTGTAAGTATCATGTGTAAAATATATGAGATATCACAGAAGAACTTTGTGTTTCATTTTTAATAGACTTGCAAAATCACAACACTTGGTGGCTCTGCTCATCTGTTAGAAACTAAACGTTTATTGTAGTAGAATGAAATATTTTAATTGACATACATTTTTCAGATAATAACAAGCATGAACAAAGAATAGAAAAGTTTCACACTGAATTTTAGATATAACAAGGAAGGGATGTTCATGTAATTATGACAAAAACATAGATGACCAATAATATTGTAGACTTAAAATATCACTATATAAATATGATCATTTAAAGTTTACATGTTCAATCGATGTTTAATGTAAAAGATATAAACTAAAATGTTTAGTTTCTAAACATTTTGTAATGATAAAAAACTGTTAGTATTTTCTATATTATATATTTTCTATTAACCAAACCCTACTTAGATGTTGTAAGTTTATTACCCAACAGTGTCATTTTTCATCCCAGCAGAAGCCGTCCATGTCCACTCAGTCGCTTCTATAGACTTTGGTCGCAGACAAGGAAAGTTTAGACCTTTCTATAAAGGAACACATGTTACAGAAATCATTTAGAATATGGGTAATTAGTGATATCTCTGAAAAAGGAAGACTACTTTTCGAATCAAGTATAGCTTTAAACTGACCACTGAGTATGGGACACAGTAATTGTGCGTTCTAATCAGACACATTTTAATTGATTAGGGATTAGATAAATGTCCATGCAGTAAAACTACATCAAACAACTGCTGTAAAGTTGTCTTCATATTCCATTGTGTTTTGGTATATACATATATATTGGTTAATATCACTGTATTACACTAACACTTATATGCACTGTAATAAACTAACATACCTGATATGCACTGTAAGAAATAAACATACCTGATAAAAACCAAAAGCACACCAATGGATATATTTTCCGAATGTAAAATCTTTGTTCACTGCTTTGAATTGAACATAACCATTTGTATCTGGATAATTAATTACAAAACGGATTTGTTTACACATGCCCTTTACAAGGTCAAATGTGCCATCTACAGGCACTACTTGGATAGGTATAGTTGAAGGTGCAGGTTTGAGTGGAGGCTGAAATATAAAAAAAATAAAATATAATTTAAGGGACTGTAAGCGTAATTTCAGGTGACCCTCCATGCAAAGATGGCAATGTCCAATCACAACCTTAATCTAATCAAAAATGTGGAAGATATCGGCGTTTTTCTGTCTCGAATCTTCATTGCTTCTTATTAGTAAGAAATGGACAAAAAACCCGCAAATAAAAAGAAACAGTTAAAAGAAACAGAACATAGATTTATTATTCCTACGAGATTAGACAAAGTTTTTAAAGGTACTATTGTAAATCAGGCATTGCCATCTTTGCATGGAGGGTCGCAATTGAAATTAAGCCTACACTCCCTGAAAGGATTTTAAAGGATTTTAAAAAGGATTTTACCAATTCAGGGTCAATGTTATAGTTCAGGGTTTCTGTGGACGCTGCCATAGTTTTTTCGTAGTTGGCCATTGTAGTTTTCAAACTGACAGTTTTTGGAAGCAATCCATTGACAGGAGCAGCTCCAGAGAAATACCGATTTTCATAAACTACAGTGAATTGTATTGTATCATCATCTACTGGGCCCTCAAAATCAGTATGACCAGTTCCTAAGAAAAACTCATTAAATGATTATGGTTAAAAATGTTGTGTAAAAAGTTTTGTTACCCCAATTATACAGCTGCATAAATGCCAATGAAGACTCTGGGTAACCGATAACAACGGATGAAGTATTGTGTGGAGTAGGAGTTCCCTTATTAGGATCTCTTGCACAGGGGTAGTTGCTTCCGATATGAGATAGAGTTATTGCACAAACTCTCATGTCTTCAGCTGAATTATAAATCATCCATTTCAAAACTTTTTTTATTTTATACAGACTTAAATGTTAAAAATACTATTTAGATTGATAACTAAGAGAACATATGAAGAGTTTTAGAATGTCAAATATAAGCAATTACTGTTTAAATTACTGTTATGTTTAAATTAAAACGGTTAATCCAAATACTCACATGGTTCTGATAAAGTGAAGTTAAAGCTACTGCGAGTTCCTCTCTCCAATTTGAGATTGAATTTCATTTCATATAACTTTAACCTAGATGTATATTTATTTTAAAACCTTAAACTTTGGAGTGAAAATAGAGTGAAAATAACTTCTATTTTATAAATCAAAAATGTGACTTGGGGTAAAATATTTATACCGTCTTAATAAATGATTTTTTGATTTAGTACAGTTATGCCTACTGGGAAAGTTCTTGTTTGTAGATATGTTATCTGCTAAAGTTAAGCATTTTGAATTGATTATTTTTTGATTGCAAACTTTTGTACCTGAGAAACTCCTTTTTACAGACAGTCTTTTACATAAAATATTCGTCTTTTGATTTCCATGTTTATTGGGACACTCTGTGACCCAATCTTTTTGAGTTGGCACAGAAATACTGTGACAAACGCAGGGAAAATGAAAATCCTCCGTTTAAATGTTTAAACTTAGTTTTTTATTTTGTTTAAAATAAATAAATTTTTATCATTTGCTTCCAACCTTGATTGTGTCTCATTTACTTTTGTTACTAGTTTTAGTCTTGGGTTCTTTACAGGGTCTTCCACTTGGTCAGCTACAAAAAAAATAAATACTTATAGAAAAGAGATTCATTTTTAACAATTTTTTATATTAATTTCTTATTCCTAACTTTTTTAGTTCAACCACATGGAACTCATTCAAAAATATATGATAAAAATTTTCACAATTGAAAAACATTAATTTTTCTGTTTAATTTTTAATAAATTTTAAACTGCACTTGAACTATTTTGATTTGAAATTGACTGGCTTTTAAAAATTATTCTTCTGTGAACGTGCTGCCTTCATATTTAAAGTTAATTCCGAAAATAATATGAATCTTAATATAAACCATAGTTTGATTTTGTAAATAACGACGTAGAAAAAAATTTTAAACGAAACAATCGTTTCCAATACTTGGTCGTTTTTTAAAACAATAGTTTTTGATAAGTATCGTTAAAAAAAAGTATCCAGTAGTTTTGTTTTGTTTTAATTCGTCGTTTCCTTAACAAAGGTAGGTCTTTTTTATTTTAGACGATCTTTCCTTAAAAACTACGGTTTTTCGTTTGTTTCTAACAATTATGAACAACTCTACTTACCATCTCTCATACAAGCAAACTCAAATGATCCATCTGGATACAACCAGGGCTTTAGATAGAATGTAGGATTGCCAGCCAAGTAAGTCCCCGGTTTAAAGTTTACAGGTTGCAGCATCAGATTATTCCCAATCTTCACATCCCAATAATACCCCAAGAATGGTTTAAACAAACCATCTTCGTCAACATCAATTGGAGCCTTCGAATGTCCCCATACGATTCCCACTGTATCATTTGTGAACTGTACAATTTCTGCACCAGTAGCAACATATCCAGAAGATTTTCCAAACTGATCCATCAAATTAAACAGAAAGGCTTGGAAAGCATTAAAGTCTTCTCTTGTGTGAAGCTCAACCAGATAAGAATCTGAAACGGTTGATAGATTAAAATTTATGAATGTATTAACATGTGAACATTTACATATTTGTACAAACCCAAGAGCTTTACACTTGGGTTGGGGTGGGGGTATCAACTGGTTAGGGCCTCCCCCTCCCTTGTAAGTCTAAAAGTTAGCCAATCAGAACCAGATAATTTAAAGTAAAAAGTAGTTAAACTACATGTACTGAGCAGAACCACTTGAAGAGGAGTCGTTCCACTGCCGATCAAAATAATTCAATAAAAAATAACTTCCTTAAAATCTTTATTTTTTACCTAGGTTTGCGCAATAATCCTTTCTTTGAGGGTGGTACAGTGTTTCTTGTATTAGACACACCTTTCTCCCACTTGGCAGAGGTCTCCAGCCACCAAGGCAAGATGCCCAACTATTCTGATCTTTAAACCCCTAAATATTGCAGCGCTTTTTAGATTTAGAATTAATTCTTAATTAAGTAGATCTACCATTGTTTCTTAAATGCATTTCTTGAATTACTTATGTCATCTAATGTTGATATGCTCAAAATCTGTTTTAGAGTCATAAAACTTACTGGTTCAAGAAAGATACTTACATCCACAACAGATGGAATTGCTTCAAACGGATTTTTGATAGTCCAAGTGGTTCCATTTGAAAATTTGATGTCAGTAGTCACTTCTCTGATCGCATTAGTATACTCTTTAAACAGATATTAGATTATAAAATTGCATAACCCGAACAAAAATTTTCAATAACTTACCATCAAAATACAATTGATTTGGTATTTCTTCATAGACTGCCCGAATTCGAAATTTGTTCTTTGTTCTTACATCTTCAGAAAGTGGTTTTGCTGGCCGGGTTGAGAGATTAAAAGCCCCAGAATCTGGAAGCCTAAACAGTCAATTTTGAAAACAAGAACTTGTCCAGTTACAGGGTTACCCACAAAGGATGAGACTGTAAAGAGTAACCCATTAATCTTTAAATGTGACGATCCCATAAGGTTAAATTTAGCCTGAAATTTAGTAATCTAATGGCTCAAATAATGATTTGGCAAAGAAAGAAACAAGTTAACAGATGCAAGGAATCATGAATGTAAGGTAACAGACCATACAAATTCCGTACAATTGTATCTGAAGTTTCATCCTAATTGTGGGCAACCCTGTAGTTCTAAAATGTACCTCTCTAAGGCTACAAAACAATATAAGTAAGAAAGTAATGTAAGCTCAAAGACAAAGGGTTTGCAACTCTTTAAAGTTGGCCTAGTCTTAAAATTTATGCACTTTTCATACGTTGGCCGGCGATTATATCAATAAAATTAGACGACTATTTATTTTAGTTTAAATTATTAACAAGCTTTTCTCGATTAACAAGTTTGAAAATAAATAAAGAGAAGCTTTTCTAATTTACAGCTTTCTTTGTTCCTGTGTTTTTGTGTATCCAAGCTGTTTAAAAGCTTGATATTAATTAAGAATTTAAATTGGAAGTCGTCTTCATTGTATTGATATTATTGGCAGACTGGATGTGTGGATCCCAACGCTACTCTATAAAGGCACTATTGCCAAAAATAACATGATTTTATTTATTAAAGTTTTCTCTGGGGCACCCCATTATATTTTTGTTTAATTTAAATTCCCCTAGCTCCCTAAGTTGCCCTCTGTTTCAAGCTATGTTTAAAGTAATAATCTCTGTTTTGGTGTCTGTCTGTTTGTACTTCCAATTAAAACGCATGTGAACCCCTTGACCTATTTGCCTAAAATCTTAATTGGAAAACTTGGAGAACACAGATATGTGATTAGCTTTGTTTACAGATTTTAATTTAATTTTAAAGATTTTAATTTAATTTTAAAGCTTTTAAATTATAATTTACCATTGCCATTCATAGGAGGTAGATTTAGAGTAACTTGGTTCAAACTTTTTCAATTTGAGATAATGTAAATCTTCTTCGATATTTACAATATCAATTTTGCACAGATGTATGAGATGAGGATGTTCTGAGACAACAGTCTAGGAAAACGTATTTTTAAATATATATACAATATATATTTGTCCATTTAATAGTCACGGATTTAGTGTATTATTAAATTGTATTTACTTTTTGTAATGCTTCAAAGAGCAACAAATGGGAATATATTTAATTCATTTAGTTTTTAGTGAGCCTTGAACATATAAATATTTAGGTTTCTTGTTTTTTTTTTTGTAGGAATGGTTGGCAATTTAAATCTTAAGGACTATAATATGTAAAAAAAACTTTAACCTAACTTGTTTAATATATTATTTTAAGTGGTGTATAAAAAAGTCTGTACTTGCACAACCGGATCAAAATGGACAGAGAAATCTTCCATAGCGGTCGGAGGAACTGATATATCCACTCCCATCATTATTTGGTCACCATCATTTAATACAGCAGTACTATAGTAGAGAGGGGTAACAGAAATCTCAGAAACTTCCTAGAAGAACAATTTATAAGGGTAATATTAGCTGAGATGGAATTTAAAGAATTTGAGCCGCAGTTTAAATCTGCCAAAACCCAGTTTAAATTAAGTGCCGGCTTAAATCTTGAAACATTTGATACAATTTTAAGTGGAACCAACCATATTTAAGCTGCGGTTTAAATTTAAACCACTGCTCAAATTCTTTAAATTCGGCCACTGGTCAAATAAACTTGGGGGTAATTTAAAAAGAAATAAATTACATATGTTTTTGAATATGTAGATTTTAGATTTTGGGTTAAAGGAATTGAGTCTTTGCCAAAAAATCAGATTTTCCAATTCCTATATCTTTGCAACCCAAGGTCCAAGACCTTAAATATTTCAAACTATGAATTCTGTAAAAGAAAATAATATAAATTTGAAAAATCAACGATCTGTGTCAGGTTGAAAAGATATTTGTATAAGAAGAAAATTTGATTTTTGGAGCAAAGACTCAATTTATTTAGTTATCAGTTGATTATAGTTATGTTCTTATTGTTTAAACCCATCCATATTATAATTTCACATATAATATAGCTCCTGTATAATCGTTTAATCCATGTATTGCCAAGCAATATAATACAATAATAATAGTACCCTGGAGGAATAAATGGCTTAAAGAGCCCGTATGGGAGATCATGAGATCAAACAATCAGGATAGTGAGTATAGCCAACACACACCTGTAAATTTTCAGCATATGTCCAGTTAAGAGAAATGCTATTGGAACCTTTCAGGCTTAAGGAACATGACACAGTAGTGCCCGGATTACCAGGCTGTGTGGATATTCCCATGAGGAGGATTTTAACCTTCAGATCCTCATTGTGAAGGTTACTGATATTACCATAGTTTCCCGATCCATTCACATGATATACATCAGATATAGGGGGGACGAACCCCATCTACAATGTTAAAAAACATCTATAAATCTAATCACTTCAATAATAAAAGATTTTTTTAAAAAAGAGTGATGTCGCACTGGACAAGTATAAAACATCATTTTGTTCTGGCATATGCTATGGAAACCCATCAAAAGGAACATTGCCTTAAGGGTAAACAAATTGTACGTAAATGTTGACCTCTCGTATAACAGATTATTTACCTACCCATTCAGTTTCAGTGTCTATTTCAACAATAACAGATACATCTCCATCTAAAATTACTATATGCTCAAATTTTGTTCATTAAAAAATCTTTGACTAGTAGTTGGACTTTCTTCTTTTAATATTAGGGAATCTGAATTATCAACGTTTTTCCCACTTACCCTGTAAAATGCTGTATAATGCTGTTGATCGATTTGGTTCCATTTTTTAGATTGTTTATATTAAAGTTTGCTTTATTACACTTTGTAATAATTTTAAAAGAAAAAAATTAAAAAATCGCGTTGGAACATGTTTGTTGTTGCATAGTTTTGGGTAGTTTTAGGGTCGTTTAGCAGTTAGCAGTCACTTGTTAGGTACTTTCCCAAAGGCATTTTCCCAAGTGACAATTTCCAAAATGGATGATGAGGACCTCTGAGGAGCCACAGACTGCAAAGGGGCCAAGCGCTGTGGCAAGGATTTGCTAGGGGCCGAGCTCTGCGGCTAGAAAAGGCTAGGAGCCCGAGCACTGCAGCTATGACAACTAGGAAATTGAATATTTGGAAGTTGCCACTTGGGAAAATACCCTTGGGAAGTTGCCACTTGTGAGAAAACCTTTAGGAAAGTACCCAACATCTTTTTGCGTTTATATTTTCTTTCAGAATCAAGTGATAAGAGAAGAAAATATAATTTATAAAACATGTGCTATTCTTACACAATGACCCTGAAAAAAATGACAGGCAAAAAACCTTACCACAAGATGAGGAAAATGATACTGGATTAGACCCTGGCTCAAGAAACAAATAAGCTTCAAACAATGCTGAGCTGCCAGGCCAAACAGGATCAGCATTAATTAATGCTGCATCATCAGATAGATATGGAGCTCCAGTCTACATGTAACACAATATAAGCTTTTGAAAAAATGAATCTTATATATAATATCATAAAATTTAAAAAAGGGTTAAAACATTTCTTTTGAATTCAAAAACCATGTAAAAATTAGCATTGCAATATTATTGCGTTTACAGTCCCTTTAAAGGCTTACCTGCATTTTTGATGCTCCAGATATCTGTACAACGTCAACATCCATCGTCAGTACATGATACCCAACGGTCTTAAATTATAATTTATAATGTGTTTCCAGCTTCTTGTTAAAGTACTAATTCTTATTTTAGTTCTTAGTTTCAACCCAGGTCTAAAATCCTTGAGTTAAGACTGTAATGTTTAAATTGTTGCCTATGGTAATATGTTGCACACACTTCTTAAAAACAGCAACAATATAATTACGTTTAAATACATTAAAAGATACCTCTGTATGGGGGAAAATTGAATAAGTTCCAAGCAAAGAATTCTTTTCTGTAATAACAATCTTGATATTGTGCACACTTCCAAACCCAAACAATCGGTTTTTAAGTAGTGTAAGGGGCACTTTAAACTCCATCTGAAATATAATGGTAAGAATGAGTTGTGTACCTTTTAAATTTTAAATATTAAGAAACTGAATAGGGTTTTCACCGGAAGCATTTGTGCAAATTTGTCTGAAAGATTTGCTAGTTCAAACTGTGCTAGAGTTTTATATTGAACAAATATTTATATGAATTGCAAGCTGCATGAATTTGCCATTTTTATCTTTGCACAATTTGTTTGTTTTTCTTGAGAAATTTACACATAGACAAACCAATTAATGCAAATTTTTGTCATGCAAATTACGTTCTACAATTTTCGCATTTGCCGACTCTAATTTGCGTGGAATTTTTCACATGGAATGTTAAATTTGCATCGCAAACAAAAAGTTGCACACAAAATGCTCAATTTGAGCACAACAATTTTTACATTCCGCAGTATTTTTCTAACACTAAAATATACATGAAATCTGTAAGTTTCAAGTAAAGTGACTATTCTTAATATTAAAAGATAAAAATCTTACCATCGAAATAGTATCAGCTGAGTCTCTTACAGCTGCAGTATTTAGAGCTCCGAGAATCCTCATTTTTCTTTTCTGCACAGAAACTCCTAAAAAAAATTACCAACATGATACAGTGAAATAAATGAAGAACAATTGATTTCTTGGATTTAGAAACAGCAACGAAATAAATTAAGAAAGCAGACTTGTGTTTCTTATGTTACCTCCATACTGTGGTTTATAATGGTATAATTTCTCTCGTACTGAATCACAGTTAAAAGCATCTCCTATTTGTGTTAGAACTGGCTTTCCAATATGGACGGAATCCTATAGTAATGACTTATGACAGAATAATTCGTAATTTTTATGTTGTTACATTTTGGAACAACCAAAAAATCATAAAAATGTTTAAAAGTATAATGATGACAAGGGGTTCAAGCCAGAAGTTTGCTTCATATGTACATAAGTTACAAAACAAAATATACTTTTAGTAAAAAAATTCCTACTTTATTAAAAGATATTTCCGATATTTCTATCTCTATATCAGCAAGGGGAAGGGTGGAGATAAAGGAAAATGTGATGATTTCAGTGTCTCCTTGAACCAGATTTAAGCTCATAGCTTCTACCTCAGGAACTAAAAAAGATAGTTTAAAACGACTGTAAGCTTAATGTCAAGTGACCCGCCATGCAATGCCTGATTCACAATTTACCCTTAACAACTTTGTCTCATCAAATATGAAATAAATATCAATATTTATAACTTAGGAAACTTTTTATTTTCAATTGAGGTTTCTCTACAAAAGTGGTGAACACATTTCTACTGCAAGAAAATGTATAGGAATTATCAGATTTGAAAACTTTTTAACCCTGAAAAGTTACATTATCTTTTACATTATTGTTCAGATAACATTTAAAGGATATTGTTGTGAATCGGGCATTACCATCTTTGCGGATTATAGGATTTTCAACTTGAAATTACAATTACATTCTCTTTTTGCTGTTTTCCAATAGCCCTTTCCGCAGAACTTCCAAATTATCAAGGGTATCCCATTGGCAATCGTAGGAAAGAAGCAGATTTAACTGTTTTAATTTTGAATAAAATCAGGAAATAAGTGTTTGGTTTTTTTTCAATTTGCTCGTTCATCGTTCGTTTTTTTTCAATTGTTCAAAAGAAATTTTCTTTCGTTCGTTCTATAAATATTAGTTCATTTTGCATCTAGTTCGTTAGTTTTCTCACTGAATAAATAACATCGCTTCTGAAAAATTGTATTCATTTGTTCAGAAAAACGATGCCAATGTTTAGTTAAGACTACTATTGAACTTAGAGATAGATTCAGGACTATGGACGATTTTAAGCTTATATTCATATGCCAAGTTTTGATTATAATCTGAAAAATAGAAACCTGAAACCTTGTATAGATTTTAAAAAATGTTATATTTCTTGATATATGCATGCATTATTTATATGATTAACAAGTACAAGAATTTAAATTAGGAAAAAAGATTCATTCTTTCCTGCTGTCAAGAGCTTTGAGCAAGAAAGACCATTTCCAAGCAATTATATCCATCAATGGACGGAGGTATAGGTTGGCGTTGAATAGAATTCTTTTTCGATCGCTGCTAATTTGATTTTAATCTGTTGGGTCTATGAGAAAACAATGTTTACCCAAGAGCGTAGTTTAATACAAATTCACATAATTGAATTTTTACATTCAAATCGTAAATAATTTAATCTAATTTAATACTACTCATTAAGATATAAAATCCAAAATTGTACAATAAGATTTGATGCATTCGTATATAGTTGCAATTTTATATTAATTTTTATGTAAAAAATATACCTAAATCATATTTGTAGGTTATCAAAGAAACATAATTTGGATCTGTTCTGTACTCTTGTTGTCCCACAAATAGATAATCATCAGACTAAAACACATCAAAAATATTGGTTTATTCACATTATTTTATAAAAACTCTATATTTCCATCTTTAACCCTATCCCTGCTGGGGTACTTGAAAACCAGGATAGCTGGGGGGGGTCAATTTGACCCCCCCCCTCTAAATCCCATGTTTTATGTCCAAATATGACAAATGATACATCATTAGAAAGCTCTTGTGCTCTACTTTTAGAATCTGCAAAAAAATTTGCAAATTTGCGAAAATTGAATTTTTTATCGCAAAATCCAGTTTTATAGTAAAAATGTTTGCAAAAAAAAATTTGTCCAAAAAATGACAAATTATACATTTTTGAAAAGCCCTTGACCATGCCATTTCAAATATGCAAAAATTTTTGCAAAATTTGAAATAACCTGATTTTAATCAAGAAAAACTAAAAATGTGCAAATTTCCTTTGACAGGTTGTTTGCAAAAAATTTGCAATTTTTTTTTCGCAAAACTTGTGCAATCCGCTTCCTTATGTCATAGGCTTTCCAAAAAGCTAAATTTTATCAAAATCTGACAAGTGAAAGTGGGTCAAAACAAAGATTTAGTTTGTTACAGGCAAAAGCAGTCATTCAGGCAGTGTGCCTGAGGACTCAGGCAGTTAGTATTAAAGCCCGGTTTTAGGCCTAAAGGGAGGGCTTTGGGTATGTAAGAAAAGTCAGAAAATTTCAACAGCCTCAGACCAATACTTTTTGAGTTATGTAAAAAAAACTAAAGGGGGGGGGGTCAAATTGACCCCCCCCCAGCAGGAATAGGGTTAAAACTTACATCATTCTGTTTTAGAAATCCAGCAACATTTAGATAGTAGAGTGTGTTCCCTATACTCTGTCCAGAGTTGTCAGTAAACACAGTTCCAAAATCAAAACTTAATCTGTTTTCTTTTCCAGCATCTTTACCAGTACTTGCACCATTCATTGTTATGGAGACATCTTTTGTCTAAAAACAATTATTGGTTTAAAAAATGAAACCATAATGCACAATCAGGAAAAAATTTGGGAATTATAAACTAGACAAATTTAGGGTATATCAAAAAACTTATTCCAGGCAAATTAAATTGATTATCCAGGAAAAGAATGTAATTGGTAACATGTCACACTGTCACATGTTGGTCACATTTAAACGCCCAAAAAATGATATAGTTTTTCCCAAATATATTTTCGTAAAAGATCTCGATTTTTTCAGAGGAACCCGAACCATCATTTACCGTCTTTAACAATCAACTTCATAAAATAAAAGACATCGTTAATGATCATCTATTAATGATCAACAATCATTAAGACGATGTCAGGCCTGTAGCCAGGATTTTTCCAAAGGGGTGTAAAGAGGGGCGTTGTAGTATGGAATTATGGGATCACTGAGTAAATGGAGTGAAGGAGGCGATTGGTAGCAGGGAGGCAGAGCTCCAATGTGAAAATGTTTTTGTAGTTTTGGTATATAGTGAGTACTAGCAATTTTAGCTTGAATTTTATGTTATGTAGCTTTTCAACTTATGCTGAAAAAAAACAATTCGATTAGAAAATCTTACCTCAGGACAAAATTCATTTAAAAAAAGATTTAATTTGGTTTGTCTGAGGGAACAGCTTTAATAAACAATTGTTTTGGACCCTATTCACTTGTTACGCGAGCCATGCTGCGTGTATAAAGTCTGCTTGTCACCCCTGTGTATTTCTGAGTTCTCTCTGAAGATCTGTACGGAATGTATTGTGAAAGAACTAGTTTTAGGAACTGTTTACAGACTGACTACGCAGACGCAAGATTTCTCGCGGAGTAGTGAATAATTTATATCAGTATATGTTTATTCGTCTTGCAAGTTTTAACCGTGTCCAGAATTCTGGGATCACTGTGGTAACTATTTTTATATATATTTATGCTTATCGTGTTGATTATAGTATGATTGATATTTATATATGTGTTTGTTGGTTCCTAGCCACAGTTTTTTAATGCCTGAGTGAATTATTTGTTGTATTTGTTGTATGTCCTGAGAAATACCACACGGTATATATATTAGGTCTTTAGGGAAATCGCTAAGTAGCGAAACATTCAATCAC